TAATACACACTGCCCATAGCATTTTCAGTATTATCGCAACCTGAACAATGAAAAGGAGAATAAATATCCAACAGCAAAACATAAGTTGGGGTGTTGTGCTGACTGATTGCTCGGTTTTCCTATAGGCTGTAATTTGATGACGTTACCTCTTATTCCACCAATTGCAGTTAAGTACGAGATTACTGGAAGCATGCAATATGTCGGACACAATTATCCATTGTTTTGGGGCGCCGCCTCACCTAGGAGGACCTATTGTGAGCCAAAGGCCTTGGCAGGGTCCCTGGGAGCAGTGGCACCCAATAAAGAGGTCTGGGGGGAGCCACCGGTTCTGGAAGGGCCCCTAAAGGCGCCACTGCCGCTGGCAGGGCCGCTGGGAGCACCACGGTTCCTAGAAACATACCTGGAGGCGCCCCAGTCCCTGCAAAGGCCCCAGGGATCATGGCTGTACCTGTGAGGGCCCCTAGGGTTCCCAGTGCCCCTAGCAGTACCCATGGGGGCGCCGCCGTCCCTGTGAGGGTCCCTAGGAGCGTTGCCGGCCCTGCAAGGGTCCCTTGGAGTGTTGTCGTCCCTGAAAGGCACATGGAAGCTCGGCTGTTCCTGGAGGAGCTCCTGTGGATGCCGCCTTCCCTGAGAAGGCCCCTAGGATTGCAATTGTCCCTAAGACCGCCTCTGGTGAATCCTGCGCCCCTGACAGGTCCCCTGGGAGCACCGCCGACCCTGAAAGGGCCCTGGGGGCGCCTCGGTACCTGGCATGGCCAGGTGACCCTCACAGGGATTGATGAGATCCCAGGGTCCCTTACAGGGACGGGGGCACCTTCAGAGGTGTTGCCAAAGACGGCGGCACCTTCATGGGTGTTCCCATGGACGTCGGTGCCCACAGGGGACGTACCACGGCGGTGGCTCATACAGGGGCCCTTCCAGAGGCGGTGTCTCCCTCAGTGTTCCTCTATGGGGCGCCTCTGCTTCCAAGGAACCTGCCAGGGGCTGCAGCGCCCCTACGGGCCCTCCTAGGGCCGGCAGCGCTGGTATGGGCCCTTTTAGTCGTAGTGGGTGCCTTAACAGGGGCGGCAGGGTCTCTCCCAGGGGCGACGGCGCCCCCAGGGGCCCTTCCACAAGCAGCATCGCCCTAAGAACTTCATAGTTTTGTTGTACATTTTACATTCGTCCAGTAATCCCTTACTTAACTGTGATTGGTGGAGCAAGATGTGACGTCATCGAATTACAGCCAATAGGAGAACAGAGCAATCAGTCAGCACAACACCCCAACTTATGCTTTGCTGTTGGATATTTATTCTCGTTTCACTATTTAAACTCTGGGAGATATGACGTTAAATAATACACACTGCCCATAGCATTTTCAGTATTATCGCAACCTGAACAATGAAAAGGAGAATAAATATCCAACAGCAAAACATAAGTTGGGGTGTTGTGCTGACTGATTGCTCTGTTTTCCTATAGGCTGTAATTTGATGACATTACCTCTTATTCCACCGATTGCAAGTTAAGTAAGAGATTACTGGAAGAATGCAATATGTAGGACACCACTATCCATTGTTTTGGGGCGCCGCCTCCCCTAAGAGGACCTATTGTGAGCCAAAGGCCTTGGCAGGGTCCCTGGGAGCAGTGGCGCCCAATAAAGAGGTCTGGGGGGAGCCACCGCCTCTGGAAGGGCCCCTGAAGGCGCCACTGTCGCTGGCAGGGCCGCTGGGAGCACCACGGTTCCTAGGAACATACCTGGAGACGCCCCTGTACCTGCAAAGGCCCCAGGGATCATGGCTGTCCCTGTGAGGGCCCCTAGGGTTCCCAGTGCCCCTAGCAGTGCCCATGGGGGCGCCGCCGTCCCTGTGAGGGTCCCTTGGAGCGTTGTCGTCCCCGAAAGGCACATGGAAGCTCGGCTGTTCCTGGAGGAGCTCCTGTGGACGCCGCCTTCCCTGAGAAGGCCCCTAGGATTGCAATTGTCCGCAAGACCGCCTCTGGTGAATCCTGCGCCCCTGACAGGTCCCCTGGGTGCACCGCCGACCCTGAAAGGGCCCTGGGGGCGCCTCGGTGCCTGGCATGGCCAGGTGACCCTCACAGGGATTGAGGAGATCCCAGGGTCCCTTACAGGGTCGGGGGCGCCTTCAGAGGTGTTGCCAAAGACGGCGGCACCTTCAGGGGTGTTTCCAGGGACGTCGGTGCCCACAGGGGCCGTACCACGGCGGAGGCTCATACAGGGGCCCTTCCAGAGGCGGTGTCTCCCTCAGTGTTCCTCTATGGGGCGCCTCTGCTTCCAAGGAACCTGCCAGGGGCTGCAGCGCCCCTAGGGGCCCTCCTAGGTCCGGCAGCGCTGGTATGGGCCCTCCTAATCTTAGTGGGTGCCTTTCCAGGGGCGGCAGGGTCTCTGCCAGGGGCGACGGCGCCCCCAGGGGCCCTTCCACAAGACGCATCGCCCTAAGAACTTCATAGTTTTGTTGTACATTTTACATTCGTCCAGTAATCCCTTACTTAACTGTGATTGGTGGAGCAAGATGTGACGTCATCGAATTACAGCCAATAGGAGAACAGAGCAATCAGTCAGCACAACACCCCAACTTATGCTTTGCTGTTGGATATTTATTCTCGTTTCACTTTAAACTCTGGGAGATATGACGTTAAATAATACACACTGCCCATAGCATTTTCAGTATTATCGCAACCTGAACAATGAAAAGGAGAATAAATATCCAACAGCAAAACATAAGTTGGGGTGTTGTGCTGACTGATTGCTCTGTTTTCCTATAGGCTGTAATTTGATGACGTTACCTCTTATTCCACCGATTGCAATTAAGTAAGAGATTACTGGAAGAATGCAATATGTAGGACACCACTATCCATTGTTTTGGGGCGCCGCCTCCCCTAGGAGGACTTATTGTGAGCCAAAGGCCTTGGCAGGGTCCCTGGGAGCAGTGGCGCCCAATTAAGAGGTCTGGGGGGAGCCACCGCCTCTGGAAGGGCCCCTGAAGGCGCCACTGCCGCTGGCAGGGCCGCTGGGAGCACCACGGTTCCTAGGAACATACCTGGAGACGCCCCTGTACCTGCAAAGGCCCCAGGGATCATGGCTGTCCCTGTGAGGGCCCCTAGGGTTCCCAGTGCCCCTAGCAGTGCCCATGTGGGCGCCGCCGTCCCTGTGAGGTTCCCTAGGAGCGTTGCCGTCCCTGCAAGGGTCCCTTGGAGCGTTGTCATCCCTGAAAGGCACATGGAAGCTCGGCTGTTCCTGGAGGAGCTCCTGTGGACGCCGCCTTCCCTGAGTAGGCCCCTAGGATTGCAATTGTCCCTAAGACCGCCTCTGGTGAATCCTGCGCCCCTGACAGGTCCCCTGGGAGCACCGCCGACCCTGAAAAAGCCCTGGGGGCGCCTCGGTGCCTGGCATAGCCAGGTGACCCTCACAGGGATTGAGGAGATCCCAGGGACCCTTACAGGTTCGGGGGCGCCTTCAGAGGTGTTGCCAAAGACGGCGGCACCTTCAGGGGTGTTTCAAGGGACGTCGGTGCCCACAGGTGCCGTACCACGGCGGAGGCTCATACAGGGGCCCTTCCAGAGGCGGTGTCTCCCTCAGTGTTCCTCTATGGGGCGCCTCTGCTTCCAAGGAACCTGCCAGGGGCTGCAGCGCCCCTAGGGGCCCTCCTAGGTCCGGCAGCGCTGGTATGGGCCCTCCTAATCTTAGTGGGTCCCTTTCCAGGGGCGGCAGGGTCTCTGCCAGGGGCGACGGCGCCCCCAGGGGCCCTTCCACAAGCAGCATCGCCCTAAGAACTTCATAGTTTTGTTGTACATTTTACATTCGTCCAGTAATCCCTTACTTAACTGTGATTGGTGGAGCAAGATGTGACGTCATCGAATTACAGCCAATAGGAGAACAGAGCAATCAGTCAGCACAACACCCCAACTTATGCTTTGCTGTTGGATATTTATTCTCGTTTCAATTTAAACTCTGGGAGATATGACGTTAAATAATACACACTGCCCATAGCATTTTCAGTATTATCGCAACCTGAACAATGAAATGGAGAATAAATATCCAACAGCAAAACATAAGTTGGGGTGTTGTGCTGAATGATTGCTCTGTTTTCCTATAGGCTGTAATATGATGACGTTACCTCTTATTCCACCAATTGCAGTTAAGTAAGAGATTACTGGAAGAATGCAATATGTAGGACACCACTATCCATTGTTTTGGGGCGCCGTCTCCCCTAGGAGGACCTATTGTGAGCCAAAGGCCTTGGCAGGGTCCCTGGGAGCAGTGGCGCCCAATAAAGAGGTCTGGGGGGAGCCACCGCCTCTGGAAGGGCCCCTGAAGGCGCCACTGCCGCTGGCAGGGCCGCTGGGAGCACCACGGTTCCTAGGAACATACCTGGAGGCGCCCCCGTACCTGCAAAGGCCCCAGGGATCATGGCTGTCCCTGTGAGGGCCCCTAGGGTTCCCAGTGCCCCTAGCAGTGCCCATTGGGGCGCCGCCGTCCCTGTTAGGGTCCCTAGGAGCGTTGCCGTCCCTGCAAGGGTCCCTTGGAGTGTTGTCGTCCCTGAAAGGCACATGGAAGCTCGGCTGTTCCTGGAGGAGCTCCTGTGGATGCCGCCTTCCCTGAGAAGGCCCCTAGGATTGCAATTGTCCCTAAGACCGCCTCTGGTGAATCCAGCGCCCCTGACAGGTCCCATGGGGGCACCGCCGACCCTGAGAGAGCCCTGGGGGGCGCCTCCGTGCCTGGCATGGCCAGGTGACCCCCATAGGGATTGAGGAGATCCCAGGGTCCCTTACAGGGACGGGGGCGCGTTCAGGGGTATTTAAATAAAATTACTTTTTTCCAAGCCAAAATTGTAAAATTGTGACCTTATTTTCATTTACCCATCACATTTACCCTAACCCCCCCCCCCCATAACCTAGTGTCGGTGTGTGGGGAAGGAGAAAAATTTAAAAAAAATTTGTTATATACCTGAAAACATTTCTTAATATAAGTAAAACCATTTAATGTATAGAAATAATAAACAAGAGATTTTTAGATGTTTTACTGATAAATAATAAGTGTTACATAATGCCACAAGTTCTGGAATCATGCCCAGCACAGTTACAACAACAACAATAATAATAATAATTACAGTATAATAACGATAATACAGTATACGACTTGACTCCAGTTCCGCAGGTCACAACACTTGTTTGGCACTGGTGCCATTGAGAGCTTGACAATATTTTTTTCACCTTTAACATTAAATCATCACTCAGATCTAACGTTCCCTTCTGCTACTTCTTCTTGTCTCCCGTACTTGTTCTTCACCTTTTTTTTTTCATATCCGTCTTCTCTCCTCTCCCTCTCTTACTTTTCTGTCTATTATAGTTTCTTTTTTCCTCCTTGTAAAAATCCATCTACTTGGGCCACCGTAAACTACTATGTTCTTAAAAAAAATTAAAATAGACTTCGTGACAGACTAGTGAAAAACATTGAGTAATCACTTGTCAGTTCATACATGGCTGACGTCACCGGGATGCACCAGGTTTTAGGTGATATACGAGAGACAAGTACAGGTGTTCTAATCATCAACAGATGTATTAAGAACAAGGAAAGTAAGAACTAATAGTATTCTCCTTATCGGAAGGAATGGGGGACAACAACAGCCTCTTATCAAATATAATGTGGTCTTGAGGGATCCTAAGTGGAAGGATTTTCTGTCCTTATATGATATCAAGTTATCTATTCATATCCTTGAAAGCCCTACTGAGTGAATTAAATCCTTCGGTACAAACTATTTCGCTATAAGCTAGACTCACTCGGTCCTTATTCTAAAGGATATCCTTCATCAAAACCCATTTCCCCTCAGGATCCCTGGGAACAACATCGGGGATTTGACTATGTTATGTCGCATCGAGGGATGGGCTCAGGACCCTGGTTGTTCCTGAGGACTCTGTTTATGGTTCGCAGGAGTGGGTGAGGTTCACAGCCACAGGTGTTCCTGAAGTCGTCCAAGTCCAGTGCCCAGATCATTCCTCCTCCCAAGCCCATCTCCTTTATGTACTCAGACTGTCGAATGAGAATAGAGGTGTTACTGTAGTCTATATATGAGCTACTAAAAACAAACAAACAAGCACAAACACACACACACGCGAACAGGATAAGCAATATCAAAGAACAGGCTGATGACTGGTAATATGACCAGTGGTGGGAGAGAAAAGTTCAAAGAAACAGTTGCAGTTACCAACAGAATTGTGTCCAGAGAAAATGACAAGATATGAATAATAAAAAGTGTTTCGGGACAACTAGATGCTTGCTAATAAACTGTGTACACGACTTTTTTTTCAATCTTTTGAAATAAACTTTACATGTTTCGTTTTATTTAATAATATATGTTAGTATTTTCTTTCTAAATAACAACAAAACTGTAATTGTAAATCGTAAAAAATGCTTTTGACAAGATGAAATAGCCATCTCTCTTTAAGCTTTGATTTTTTTTATTTCTGCACTTATTAAGTTTCAGAAATTTTTTTAATTTGTCAATGCAAAATATAACCTGAAAATATAAAGTGTGTAAAATAATTACAGGTATATATTTCTAACTTCCAAAGAGAACCTTACCATCATCAAGTACTGTACTGTACTGTACTGTACTGTACTGTACTGATGTTTCTAAATCATAAATGTAGAAATTCATTAATTCATTTTACAACTACTGTACAACTGTATTAATATTTCTCCTCTGAATCATAATTAAATTATATAATTACAGGATACATTTACAGTACTGTATTTGATTTCTGACTAAAAATTATTACAGCATACGTCTCACAGCACCTTATATCTGATCATAGCAGTGTCGTCAAAGCCAACCCACTGATTTCCTTTGTAGGCATATGGCCCCATGGTGCCCAGAGGATCGTGCACCACCGTGTAGCCATCTTGTTTTATCTTCAAACATATCTGTGGGAGGTGAGGTCAAGTTAGCCAAAGTCAAGTTATAATTAAACAATTAAAAGTTAACTAATATACGTCTAATATACGTGTGTGTGTGTGTATATATATATATATATATATATATATATATATATATATATATATATATATATATATATATATATATATATATATATATATATATATATATATATATATATATATATATATATATATATATATATATATATATATATATATATATATATATATATATATATATATATATATGCTGATACAAGGAAAGAAAAACACGAAGTTCCCAAGCGCTTTCGTGTAATTCACATTTTCAGGGTGAGTACAGACTAGTCTGTACTCACCCTTAGATGAAAATAATACACTTGCACCTACAGTGATTTACTTGCATATATATATATATATATATATATATATATATATATATATATATATATATATATATATATATATATATATATATATATATATATATATATATATATATATATTAATGAGATGTTTGGTAATTCAGCATCTTATCATAATAATGTATAAGGTAATGCTTATAGTATTCATTGTTAGTGTCAGGTCTTGACAATTTTCATTTGTTTTATTATTACTATACTCATATCAGTACTGTATATTGTTATTCATAGACTGTAATTTTCATCTTTACTATTATTATCATTAGTAACAATATTATATTATCATCAAACCAGTAATAATTGTATCACTCCTCACCTCATAGTAGGCAAGGAAGCCAGCAGCTCTGGTATATTTACCAGCCTGGCCTTTGTTTCCAGCTCTCACATTTAATCCATGGTCCTTAGCACCCCATGACAGACCGAAGGCTTGGCCATATAAGGGCATCCCCATGACCAACTTCTTGCGGTCTGCGCCATTCTTGATCCAGTAGTGGATGGTGGAGTTCTGGTAGAAACAAGTTTTTAAATTATTGTAGTTTTAAATTATCTCACATACCTGTGTAATGTATACAGAAACTTCCTCGTGATCTTGTCTTAAATTCTTGCAGTTAATGCCCCTCTTAGTCTGGTAACGTATAGAGGAGCTCTACTTCATACAAATTTGCAGATTATATTTCAGCTTCCCTACATATTATTAAGACCCCACACGAGTTTTTTCTTTATAATAAATAAAATAAAAAATAAAAATTATTCTCACCATTTCGAATTTTGCTTAGTATTGTATTGGATGGAGAACTCTAGTGTTGTACAGAAGAATTTTGCATTATATTTCAAGTCAATAAAAGTTTGATGTGCATAAAATTTGTTAGATTCTATAATTCCTTTACTTTCTTCCCTATTCAGTTGAAGTTCTTGGGCCATTGTGAGAAGAAGGCGAATCAAGCAACTAAACTATTAGATCCGTTAAGAAGGTCGTTCAGACATCTAGACGGTCAGTGTCTCGTAACGATCTTCAAGAGTGAGGTGCTTCCCCGCCTGGAGTACAATCACCCCGTCTGGTCCCCAAGAGAGACTAGGAATTGTCAGTTGATTGAAAATGTCCAAAGGGGAGCCACCAGACTGGTGCCTGCACTTAGGCACCTCAGCTACCCAGAGAGATTGGAGCGCCTGCAACTGCCTTGCTTATACTACAGACGGGCACGGGATGACCTAATTGAGGTGTATAAACATCTCAAAGGGCACTACTCAGTCGAGTGTCCATACCTGGAACTGGCGGACGCTCGCCCCTCAAGGAGTCACAGCTCAAGGTTGAAGAAGCCACAAGTCCAGAAACCTATGACGGCAAACTTTTTCTGATTGGGAATTGTAAACTCGTGGAACAACCTGCCAGTGTGTGTTGTGGCGGCACTGAGTGTGAGCTGTTTCAAGATCAGACTTGACCAACACTGAAGCAGGTTCAGATATATTCAGGAGCCGGTACATGTCCAGTACTTGCCAATAGTGTGTAACAGAGACGTGACTGACCGCCCAAGCGGCTAACGAACCGAGCAATGGAGAAGAGGATAAAAGTAAATATGTAAAAGTAAATGTGAAACTTTACACAAGAATAACACAAAGATTCTCCAAATGTTTTAACGTTCAATAACTCTTGAGATGGACTTCACCTTCTGAGTGCACTTTTCCTTGGATTCTAATAAGCCAATTTAATATCAACATAAACAAACACCAAACAAACAAACCAAGCAAGTCACCTTTCTTGGTCGACTCATTAAGGCCCAAGTGTTTGAATAGCCAGGTCATTGACTGTAGTTAACCTCATTAAACTCAAGCCATTACACAATTATCCTAAGAGTTTCTCCTCAGTACAAACTAAATATATCCCTGAAATATTTATCTGTACACTTCTTCGTAGACTCATATTCGGGACACATGAAGACTTAAGACTCACGGTGTTGAAGAGGACCTCATCATCGTCAGGGTGGGCATACATAGGTGACACGTGGCCGGTCTTCTTATCCCAGTGACCGTGGTAGTCGTAGGTCATGACGGCAATCCAGTCAAAGTAGCGGTTCAGAATGGGTACATTATAGCCTGAACACGGAAGGATGTACAGTTTTGAGATTAGCCACATCAATAGCATGTACGTTTTTGCAATACATAATATGCAGTAACTGGATTATTATAGAAATACAACATTCAATGAATCACTATCAAAGTACTGTACATAACTCATCTTGGCAATAATACTCAACATGTGAGCAGAGAATGGACTTATGGGTAGAGAGGTGTTACTTACCTGCATCGATGACCTTGTAGCTAGGAGACACAGCAGCAGAGAGGAGGAGGTTATGAGGCTTAAAAGCGAAGTGTAGCTCCTTCACCCATTCAGCAAAGGCCTCCTTGTCTTTCGGATTACCTTTTGCACAGTTAACCTGATAGAAACGAGTTGATATGAGTTAATACAAAACACTGATAAAGAAGAATAACAGAAACAGTAATGTTTAAAATAATGTAAAGATGAAAAAATGCTTATTACTCCTGACAAGTGAATTTTGTAGTTACTGTTTTTTAATCTTTGTTCCAGTACTCTACTCACTTTTGTTGTACCTGTACTTGATTTTGTTCTAGAGTACTGTACATGTAATTGTTTCTGTTGTACTGTACTGTACCTGTACTTGGTTTTATTGTACAGTACCTGTACTTGTGATGCTGGTCCTAATTAGAAAAAGTAAGAACTTAAAATATGTTATGGATGAATGTGAAACCCTAGTCCCCTCTTTATTTTAGTTCCTCATCAGCCAAGTTAAGGCATCAAACTTTTATATAATTTTTAAGTAAGTATTAAATAAAGCAACAACTTGAAGGGATGTTACTGCATTCAAGGGGTTAGGTTAACTGAAGCTTCAGCAAACGACCCTACTTGAAAAAAGCATATGATGGTTTTGTTGGCTATCCTTGATCAAAACGCCTTACTGTTTCCCATTATCTGTATACCTGCACTTTCTAGGTATTACATTCCTTGTATATTTGCACCATGTATACTTGAAGTGTTGAAATACATGTTGCATCAATGTAAATTTATATGATGAATTTACTGAATAAAATTGAACTAAACCTGAAAATTTTCATCTTCTTTCGCCTACTATGTTCACCTTTTTACCCATAAACATACCTCTCACCCTCTCTCACCTGCCAACACACGGGGTATTCCCAGTCCAGGTCGAGGCCATCAAAGTTGTGTTTTTTGATGAATTCTATGACGTGATCATTAAATGTGCGACGAGCAGCGGGGTTGTTCACCAAGCGGCTGTACTTGTCACCTGCCGAGTCGTTCCACCCACCTATCGCGACCGTCACCTTGATGCCTTTGGCCTTGAGTGCCGTCACCTTCTCGTAGAACTCTGTATGATAGTAAAGTACAACATTTAGGAGAGCTGTCATAATACAAAGTAACCTGAATCGGTTACAATACAGATGGCTGTGAATGTATTTTCTTACCGTCCTGATATTTCTGAATAAACACTTCACAAGTGAGATGACATGAAAAGTACACACATATCCATGCACATGCACACAAGTACAGGATATAACTTAAAAGCTTAAGTAACGCAGCCATTAAAACAAAAACAATCGGGATAAATCAAAAGACACATACAGAACATAACCAAAAAATACAGATAGACACAGACAAACAAAACCAAACAAAAGAAACTCACTGTTGTCAATATCTGCCCAGGAGTCATGGGGTTTGATAACCAAGCCAGTGGAGTCGAGCACTGCGAACCCGTACACGATATGGGTACAGAGAGTTGAGTCAATGTCCTCAGGCTTATATTTACCAGCTCCTTGACGGTACCAGGCCCAATTGGTGAAGTAACACACTACCTGTGACGGGAGAGACAAGGGACTTTAGAGCAGAGGATATATAGAAACAGAGAGGAGATATAGAGAGAGAAGACGGGTGGGGGGGGAGATGAGAGGTTCAAGGGGTGAGGCAGGGATAAAGAGAGACGAGAAGAAACAAGGAACATAAAAGAGAGAGGGAGATATTGTATTTGTAAGAGACTAACAGTCATATGGAGAAAGGGGATTTTTACGAGATTATCTCACCATGTATTCAGAATGTGGCATAACGTCTGTGGTGGTTCCAGCCTGAGGAGAAATGATAGGTGTCTCCCAAGTGGGTCTTCTGGTAGTGGTGGTAGTCGTTGTGGTGGTGGTGGTAGTAGTACTGGTGGTGTGCTGCTGCTGCCATGATGGTGGGCCAACTGCTCCGGGGTCGTCGAGGGCGGGGCCGGTAGATGTCTTGGGGCATTGGTTTTGTTGACTTTCCCAATTGCAGAAGTTCTGTGCCTGGGGGATACAGAGATGGATAGTGATGGATACAGTGATGGATAGTGATGGATACAGTGATGGATAGTGATGGATACAGTGATGGATAGTGATGGATACAGTGATGGATAGTGATGGATACAGTGATGGATAGTGATGGATACAGTGATGGATAGTGATGGATACAGTGATGGATAGTGATGGTTACAGAGATGGATAGTGATGGATATAGAAATGGATAGTAGTGAATATAGAGATGGATACAGTGATGGTTACAATGCCAGATATGGAGATGGATATAGTGGTAGATATAGTGACATAAAAGTGACAAATACCTGTATGGTGATGGATATACGGTATAGTGACATCAATGGATATCGTGATAAGTAAAGTGATGGATATGGTGGCTATAGATATGGCTATAGTAACAGACACAATGATGGATACAGTGACAATTGGATATTTTGCTCACTATTGAATGTCAGTCAGTACAATACAATGAGATTTTACATCATTGTGTTTACACATTGATCCTTGTATTTAAATTAAATTATTTTACCTTTTCCAACATGGGAAGTGTCCACCAGTAGTGAAGAGGATAAGTAAGTGAATAAGTTTACCTCGGACCTATGGGTGAGTTTGTCCTACACTGTACTTACTTTGTCCCATACGAGATTTCCCATGCATTTGTGTACAGTTCCCTCGCCATGGTTACACGTTATGTATTTTCTGCAATCATTTGGGTGGGCCATGTTACCATCCGTTAAACACTGGTAGTCTGCCTTCTGTGCAGCTATTGCAGAACTGGCTCTTGTGGTGGTACGTTGGGTAGTTGCTGCAGTTGTTGGTTTTGGTGTCCAAACAGGAGGGGTGGATTCCGTAATTGATGGTGATGCTGCTCGTGCAGGCAAGTCACCAGTCATCTGATCCTTGAAGATGGATACCGAACCTGGTGAAAAAAAAAATGTTTCTATACAGACAGGGAATCTGTTGCATATATCCAGTAATCTGGAGGCAACCATCTTTTCTCAGTGCCTAATCTTTGCTTCTGTTCATTACTGGGTGATTCATGAAGAACTCTAGTGTAGAGACTAGGCTGCCCGACCTGGAAAGGTAACTGAGTAATTTTCCTGGTGATGATTCTTTAAATTGCATATTGAGTTGGTTAGAAATTTCCTTTCTTTAATGCCAAATTGATTTATTTATATAATGGCTGATAGATAATTTTCTCTTTTTGTGTCACATTTCTTTGTGATGTCACGCACCACTAACATGATAGGACATAACTACAAGTTCACCAAGTTATCATGCAGAACAAATATAAGGATACTTTTCACACAGTTTCGTAGACCTATGGAACGGTCTACCAGCCAAGGCTGTGGAATCAAGAACAGTATTGAGGTTCAAAATAGCCTTTGACACAGGTCACTGACCTCCCTACCTCAGCATGGCCACCTCTAGTGGGTGGCCATTAGGTAAATAAGGAAGGTAAATATTGATAAATTTGGCAATGATGTTCATTTTTGTAAAATTTTGTATATAAAAAATAATTTTTCTGTGTTTTGCATCTGTAATCACAAAAAATGCAAATATTGGTGATTAATTTCTTAAATAAGCTGTTGTCAGAACTACAGTATGAATAATGGCCTAAACATCAGATGAAGAATTAACAGGGCAGCAGCACAATGAGTCAAAACTACAATAAACAACTGGTCAAACGACAGCATCACTGGGAGAAAAAGATCCTACCTCCAAAACTAGCACATTTAGGGTCTGGCACGGGGTAGTTCCTGAGGACTCTGTTGATGGTTCGTAGGAGTGGGTGATGTTCACAGCCACAGCGGTTCTTGAAGTCATCCAAGTCAAGTGCCCAGATCATTCCTCCTCCCAAACCCATATTCTTGATGTATTCAGACTGTAGAGGACACACTGGGTAAGTGTACAGCAGTGTTGACTATTACCTGCACACACACACACACATTGTGGCAGTAATACCACATTGGAAACACCTCTTCCTGTCCAGTTAGTGAAGTTAAATAACATTGAGTCTGGTTAGTACTTGGATGGGTGACCGCCTGGCCCTAAGAACAAGCCTCTCATGGCTTTGTCAGCTGTCCTTGGTCATATTGATTGAATATCAATTACTGTACAATTATAAAGCATTACTGTAGCTAATGTGTGTGTGTGTGTGTGTGTGTGTGTGTGTGTGTGTGTGTGTGTGTGTGTGTGTGTGTGTGTGTGTGTGTGTGCCAGTGTGTGTGTATGTGTGTGTGTATGTGTGTACTGGAAAGTCTATAACCATTAGACCTTTACCAACATCTCTCCATGCATTCCGCTGACACCCCCATTGTGTGTCAGCCCTGCTAGAATGGTTGGCATGAATATACTTATCCTATCTGTTTGTTTTTTTATAGACTAGAGTATATCCTTAACTCCCAACTCGTTCTCAACCTCAATCCCAGAGAGTTTATCATGTCATAACATCAAAATACTAATAAGTTTGTTGCATCATATCATCAAAACATCAGAAAGTTTATTGCACCATTTCTCCACATGACAAACCGACCGACCTTGTATCTGATGGTACCAGTGTCGTCGAAGCCCACCCACTGGTTCCCTTTGTAGGCATATGGGCCCATGGAACCTTCACTGTCCCTCACCACCGTCCATCCTTTATTGAGGATGTTGTGGCAGATCTGTGGAGGAAGGGAGGGAAAGAGAAAGCCTATCAATGGAAGATTCAATGGAAGTAATAGTAGGACTAAGAGCACTAGTTGTAATTATAGTATCAAAATCAATAATAATATCAACAGTAGTAGAAGTATTAGCATCAACAACAGGAACAGCATGAGACACTCACCTCATAGTAAGCCAGGAACCCTCTGGCCCTGGTGTATTGACCGGCTTCACCTCCACCATAACTCCCCTGGTTGAGACCATTGTTGTTGGACATGGAGAGTGTGAAGGACTGTCCGTACATCGGCATCCCCATCACCAGCTTCTTCCTATCCGCGCCCTTCTCGATCCAGTAGTGGATGGTGAAGTTCTGTGTCGGTCATGATTGATAAATGTTAAGTTTCTGTCTCAAAGCATGTAATTAAGTTCCATTCACAGAAAAGGTGACATTTTAATTCTGGGATTCTATGTTTACACTTTACAATCATTTTCTTGAAAATTTGAGACGATTAAACTCACAAATAAGACACTTAATTAATAACAAAGAGACAATGACTCAAATTAACATATTAGCAATGACTCAGGAAAGAAAACAACTGACTCACAGTGTTGAAGGCGAGGTTTTTATCCTGGGAGTGTGCGTACATAGGAGCGACGTGGCCAGTCATCTTATCCCACTGACCATGGTAGTCATAGGTCATGACGGCGATCCAGTCAAGGTATTGACTCAGGACTGGCACATCATAGCCTACAGCCAGTGAGAACAGGTGTGTGTGAGTGTATCAAAGTCAAAATAAAAATAAATTTAAAAGCTTAAAAGGAATACAGTATACTGTATTGAGTGAAAAATCATCCTTCTGTTAAGAACTCTTAACAAATAAACTTGTTTATAAAGTATGCATGCTTGTGACCAGAGCCATGGCCCGGGGTAAGTCGTCAAGATTACTACCTATATCCATTACAGTCCTTTATTTTAATAATTAAAGGACTGTAATGGATACAGGTTGTAATCTTACAGCATTGCAACACAAAATATGGAAAAAATTAAAGAACTGTGACCCCTAGACTGTATGTGATAACTGTTCTATTAGTTATGAAAATACTGTACTGTACTTAAAATAAGATTCGGAAATACACAAGAAAAACATAAAATTAAGAACTGGCGACATCATCACATGCATATATATGGAAAATAAAACAATATTTTAAATTGATTTGTAACAAACAAGACAAAGGCCAAAAGACAGTCTGGATGTAATGAGAAATATCATGGTAACAATAACCAAAAAACTAATTTAATCTACAATAACTTCTCATTAAGCATTTGCAGAAGCAGCCTGCTTTCAAAATTAACTTTCCAGTCTTTCTTTCCAGCAAACTCTTTTATCAGTTCAAGATAGCACAAACTTGCTGCCAGCCCCTTTTCGATGGAGATTTTAGCCAGTGCATTTTTTTTCTATGGAAACGAGTTCTCGGAGTACTCAAAGTTCTGAAAACAACTCAGCTTCCTTAATATCGTGAGAATTTCCAGCACTCAATGACTTAGCCAAAGCAGAATTGTGCTCAGCTAGGTACTGCACAGCTGCTATAATACGTGTTAAAACCGATTGTCAATGCACCTTTTATTTATTAAAGTCTTGTAACATGTGTGTATCTATGGTATTCATTGAACTCAACCTTCTTTTCACTTATATCCATTTCATTAAATTGAATAAAGTGTTCATTTGGTGATTTGGTGACTAATGACATTTTATGCCTTCACTAAAATGCTTCCCCTCAGCACAGCCTTCTTTTATTAATGTATGTGTTGCATTTAAACTGTATAATTATTAACCAGAAGAGCGCGAGGCCCCTGGAAGCGTGAGGCCATGGGCGGCCCCCTGGCTTGACCTCCCCCCCCCCTCGGGACGGCTCTGCTTGTGACTTGCATCCATATAATCAAGACATTTTCACCACTTCATTAACTTACGTCATGTAGCCCTTGTCAACAACAATCCATGACACTTACCCATTGTCAACAACAGCCAATGACACTTACTCCTTGTCAATAACAGCTCATGACACTCACCCTTGTCAATGACCTTGTTACTGGGCGAGACAGCAGCCGACAGCAGTAGACCGAGTGGTTGGAGGCGATTGTGGAGTTCCTTAACCCAGTCCGCGAAAGCTTGCTTGTCTGAGTCTGGACCTTTGTTGCAATTAACCTGTAAAGAAGAAGGTGTGACGTTACCTTACAGGTGCAGGAACTCCCGGTTCTCTCGCTCTCGCCTTTTCACTATTTTTGCTCTTAATGTACTGGCATCTCATCTTATCTTCTCTACCTCCATTATCTTCCTCTCTCTCTCTCTCTCTCTCTCTCTCTCTCTCTCTCTCTCTCTTATGATGCTCTCTCTCACCTGCCAGCACACAGGGTATTCCCAGTCAAGATCTAATCCATCAAAGCCGTGTTTCTGGATGAACTGAACTACTTGCTCATTAAACTTGGCTCGGGCAGAGGGGCTGTTCACCAGGCGACTGTACTTGTTTCCTGCCGAGTCGTTCCACCCACCGATGGCTATGAGAACCTTGACACCATTGGCTTTATGGGCTACCACTTTCTTGTAGAACTCTGTAGGGTTTTAGTAGGTGATGTTAGAAGCTTTGAAAGTGTGACTCGCTTTGCTTATAGAATTTAAGACTTTTAAATATAAGCATCACTCTAATATGAAGATAAATATTTCTTTTTCTCAGGATTTAAGATTTTATAACACACACGTCACTCACCATTATCGTAATCAGCCCATGTGTCGTGAGGTTTAATGCGGAGATTATTGCCATCAAGCACCGCAAACCCATACACAATGTGGGTACAGAGGGAAGAGTCGATATCATCTGGGGTATATTTGCCTTCACCAGTCCTGTACCACGCCCAGTTAGTGAAGTAGCAGACCACTTTGTATTCATCACCTGTACCTGGAAGTTACATGGTTAGTTCTATGCTACTTTTAAGGATTAATCTATTGTTTATACACTGTATCTATCTATCTATCTATCTATCTATCTTATCTCTCCTGTAGTGTGGTAACTTGTAGTAATTGTATTTATTATTATTATTGTGATCATTATTATTATTATTCATCTTAATCTCACTAAGAAACTTCACACGTACCTCCACCTCCTGATGTGGCAGGACCTGATGTTCCACCTTGAGGGATGATCATTGACCCTGGGGTGGAGACTGAAGGACTACCCCCTGATGTTCCTGGGATTCCTGATGGATCTGATTGTATCCCTGCAGTCCCTGAAGAAGCTTGTGGTGGTGCCTTGGTGGTGCTGCTTGTGGTGATAGTGGTAGTGGTGATAGTGGTGACTGGACCGCTACCAGTTCTGGACGGACCTAGGACATCCTTAATAGTATTCATAAGCGGATGAGCTCCCTGGCCACAGCGGTTCCCAAAGTCATCCAAATCGAGAGCCCAGACCATCCCACCGGCCAATCCCATTTCTCGGATGTAGTTGGACTGTCAACACATACACATATGATGATGAGGTTAAAAGGTAAGGGTCGTCAAGTATAGCCATGTAATGTAACGCCTGTACTACTGACTTAACAGGTCGTTTCCAGGGTGCAAATTAGACATAATTCTGTTTCAGAAGACTGTGTGTGTGTGTGTGTGTGTGTTATGCTATCTTTGAGCCTCTGAACCTAACCTAACCTTCAACACATGTACAAAAGATCTGGCTATGTTAAATTAGGTCCAATGAGGTAAAATTGCTTTAAATTGGGGATCATTAAATAAGACAAGTGTAAAGCTGGAATCACGTTAAATATACTAAAAAGTCTTAGTTAAATTATGACAGTTAGGTTGGGCTAAGTTAAATTACTTCATTTTAAATAGGCGAGGTTAAATTCCGTAAATTTAACTAAGATCAGGTAAGGCCAAGTTACAGTTAGTCAGATTAGGAATGGCTAGGTTAAATAAGGTCAGATCAGGAACCTACCTTTTTCCTGATGGTTTCTGTGTCGTCGAAGGAAACCCACTGGTTACCGGAGTAAGCATAAGGTCCCATTGCACCAGATGGGTCCTTCACCACTGACCACCCTTGTCGTATGAAGTGGCAGATCTTTGTTGAGGAGGAAGAGGAACAAGAGGGATCTTAGTTATACTCTTTGGTGGTGTTACATCCACAGCAATCATTCAAAACAAAGCTACAACCACAACAATCCTTCAAAATAAAGCTACAATCACAACAGCCATTCAAAACAAAGCTACAATCAACAACCATTCAAAACAAAGCTACAACCACAACAGCCATTGAAAACAAAACTACAACCATCCAGAAGGAAACTACAACCATCAGACTCACCTCGTAGTAGGCCAGGAACCCACGAGCCCTCGTGAAGGGGCCAGCTTCTCCTCCTGACCTCGCTGGAGAGTTGAGACCTGTGTTGGATGCATCGTTGATGGAGAAGGACTGACCATAGAGAGGCATTCCGAGCACCAACTTGTCCTTGGTAGCTCCCTTCTCCAGCCAATACCTGATGGCGAAGTCCTGAGAGAGAGAGAAAGGGGAGGAGTGTTAGTGTTGGTGGTTGAGAAGAGAGAGCGAGTAATAAAAAACAGTGAAAGTGGGTATGACTGCCCAGTAGGGACAGTGTGGATACAGGACACTGTATACTAAGCCATTGGCACACAAGGAGGCAGCATGGCCAGTAGTGCTCTCGACTACCTTCACTTCCCAAGATGTAAACGTGGATACTGGGAGCGCCCGGGAATCGAACCACCAACCCCTGGAGCAGTAGGCGAGCACTGTATCCACTCGACTGATGCACAATAAAAAACAAGAAAATAAAACGAACACACTCGCCCACCCACCCACCATCCACTACTCCTGTCCACCCACACCTACACCCACTACCCGTCCACCCATCCACTCTCACCCACACCCACAACCCATTCATCCACACCCACGTACCATATTGAAGTAGTCGTAGTCATCTTCGGGGTGGTAGTACATAGGGGCGACGTGGCCAGTCTTCTTATCCCAGTGACCATGGAAGTCGTAGGTCATGACGGCGATCCAGTCCATGTACTGATTGAGTGTGGGCACGTCATAGCCTGTAGAGGTAACACAGGTGTTTGAATACTTAAATTACAGGTAGATTCTATTATTAGGCCTGTACAGGTGTTTGAGGTAGTCATGATTTCTTAGCCTACAGCACCAAAACCAAGGACAGGTACCTATAGAGACCTATCTCATACAGGTGGTTGTGAAGTGAGGGAGGGGGGGGGGGGTTAGTCTCACCTGCGTCAATGACTTTCTTGCTTGGGGACACGGCGGTAGAGAGCAGGAGGCCGTGGGGCTTGAAGGCGTCGCTGAGTTCCTTGACCCACATACCGAAGGCCTGCTTGTCCGAGGGCGGTCCCTTACTGCAGTCAACCTGTGTAAGTGAGGAGGAGTACCTTAGTGATGGGGGAGGAGAAGAGTGTATTTTGGTTTTCTTAATCTTCCTTTTTCTGTCCGCGTCTTAACACTCACGCATTTAAACATCCATGTTCTGATATATTCGCTCTCTTTATATTCCTGTATTTGTGTATGATAAGAGTAAAAGTGGGTACCATAGGCATGACTGCCAATTAGGGACAGTGTGGATACAGCATACTGTATACTAAACCATTGGTACACAAGGAGGCAGCATGGCTGGTACTCTACCATCTTCACTTCCCAAGTTGTAAACTTGGTTACCCATTTGCAGCTGGGTGAACTGGGAGTACCTGGGAATCGAACCACCGACCCCTGGAACAGTATGCGAGTGCTGTATCCACTTTATCGCCGTGCTTCTTTGTGTATGATACTGGACACCTTTTCGCATTTTCTCTCACACACACACACACACACACACACACACACACACACACACACACACACACACTCACCTGCCAGCATACGGGGTACTCCCAATCCAAATCCAGACCATCAAAGTTGTGTTTTTTGATGAACTTGATGACATGTTCAATGAACTTGGCCCTAGCGGCGGGGTTGTTCACCAAGCGGCTGTACTTGTCACCTGCCGAGTCATTCCACCCACCTATAGCAATTGTCACCTTGATGCCTTTGGCCCTGAGAGCTGTCACCTTCTCGTAGAACTCTGAAGAAAAATGAGGTGGTGAGGCAAGTTTGGTTTGGTTAAATATACCGATGGTTATGATGATGATGATGATGACAATGATATTGATAATAATGATGGTAATGCTAATAATGATAACATTAATAATAATAATGATAATAATAATAACATTAATAATAATAATAATAATAATAAAATTAATAATAACAAACATTAACAATAATACAATACTGTGAAAACAACAATAAAGACCATAAAAATATTATCTTCATTATAGTTATTATCATTGTCATTACAGTACTATGAATCCTACTAGTATCAGCATTATCTTAACATCATTATTGATATCACTATTACCACTATCATCATCTTTTTCACTTGTCCATTATTATCATCATCATCGCTGTCATTATTTTGATCACTGTACAAATATTCCTTATTTACTACGATAACTTTTGTTACAATTCAATTTCATGAAAGAAATCTCTCTCTCTCTCTCTCTCTCTCTCTCTCTCTCTCTCTCTCTCTCTCTATCATAACCACCACCATACTTACTATTATCTATGTCAGCCCACGAGTCATGCGGCTTCATTATAAGGTTGCTATAGTCGAGTACAGCGAAGCCATATACAATGTGAGTACACAGTGTTGGGTCGATGTTATCCGGAGTATATTTTCCGATATTAGGCCTGTACCACGCCCAGTTGGTGAAGTAGCACACCACCTTGTAGTCTCCTGTTGAGTACATGTGCTGTAGTACATTTTAACATGGGAAAAATACTGACTTTGGAGCATTAGGCAAGTTAGCATATCATGGTGTAATTTCTTGTTGAGTACAGTACATGCACTTTAGTATATTTTAACAAAGGATAAATAAATAAATCATAAGGTGGTACAATTAATGTAATCTCTTGATGGTGTACATGTGCTGTTGTACTGGCCATTAAAACGATGTAAAATTAAGGAAAAGTAAAGATCTTTAGATTTGGAACACAAAATGATGAATTACACAATAATCACATCAGTATGTAACATCATGAAGAAGTTCAAGTGCTTTTGTACATTCTGGGAAACTACAAAAAAATGCTACTCATAAAACCTTAAAAAAAGTGAGCATTTATAGAGACACCTGTTAATATATCTAAGTGGAGGCCAGGTGAAGAAAGGTACCAAAAGTTGGTTAACTCTCCCAGTCAGCTGTTGCTCCACTCATGACTTTTCTGAACAAAATAATGTCTATCACCTCACCTGAGAGACCACCACTAGACCCCACTGAGGGCAGAGTCACCACAGGGGCCATGGTGCTGCTGGTGACAGTGGTGGTGGTGGTAGAGACGACGGAACCGGGAGCTGGGATCGGGGGAGGACCAGGAGGCTGGACACCAGCATCAGCTTGTGGGGGAGTCGCACACTTCACATTGCGTGGCCAGTCGCAGTTCTTTTTTACCTATTGTGTAGGGGAGACTATCATTTACAATTGTACATGTTATAATCTGTTGCATGGACTGTAACACACACATTCACTTTCTCTCTACTGAAATGACTCTGTGTAATGCTGAATACTATGTACAGTACTCTGAGGTTGCTGCAGTATATGGCAATATATTTGTCAAAACAAGATTAATTGCATTACTGTACTTAAAAGAATATACAAAATGAACCACAGTACTGACCGGGTTAAACTTCAAGCCGGGAGCACACGCTTGAGATATCCACTTGTTATCAACACCACATATTCGGTAGCGGCTACAGTCGTAAGGGTCTGGCATTAATCCCTGAGACATCGTGCAGCTGATATCCACATCAACAGGGGACGCACTCTGGCTTACGGAGGGACTAATCACCTCGGCGGGGCGTATAGCTGAAGGAGGAGATTTGAGATTGTCACCCCTCCTAAAACTCCCTCCCTACCTTTCCATCTTTCCTTCCCAGTCCTTCCCTTCCTGATCTATTCCTGGCCCATATAGTAGGGGTTGACTGGGGGAGTGAACATAAGGGATACACCCTGGGGAGTAACCCTTTAAGCTCTGGGTGGTGGTGGTAAAACTCTCACCTATCCTGAAGCAACACCCACAAACCCAACACAGTAGAACGAAACAACAACAACCAATCATCCTTAATGCTATAATATGCCAACTTATCATCAACTCAAACTAATCTCTACCACAAAACTACCACACTCATACAACCTGCAAAACAAAGGGTCATTTAATATAATCACTAATTAAATGCATGTAAATTCTTACTTAGAGAGGTGGTAAAGCAGTGAGCAAAGCATAGGTTAATTGATGCATTAGAGAAGCGATGCGAGGCAGCCAAGAGGTAAGGCACAGGGCGTCTGTTTGAGTACGACAACCATGAATACAGTCTCTTCGTGTATCGTGTTTACATTTTTTTTTTAAATCTTGGTCTTCAACCGATAGTTTCAGAATAGTGCTGAGGTAGAAAAGCTGGAAGAAATACGCAGAGGAGAAGTGATAATCGGTCTAATGAGAGATACTGAGACAAAAAGAGAGCTGAGGGGAAACAGGTGGTGGAGGAGGTTGAATGTGGAGGTGAGGAAAGGTGGCGGAGACTGTCGAACCAGCTATGTGGGCGCGGGGAGAGCTGCCTCACGGGCCGGGGGAGGAGGGCGGGGCTGGCCTCCTTCTGCGACACTGTAGAGGCTGGAACAAGAAGAAGGGCAATGAGAAAAACACTTAGAAGGCGTGGGCAGCGGCGTGGGCGGTGGAGGATGGAACACGAGGAGATGGCGCAATAAGGAACATGAACACTCTGTACCACTCTAAGGTAAACAACATAACCCTGAATATTCTCTCACACTCTCAGGGTTCATACACTCATCCCTGAAAGATCCTGACAGGGTCTTCACATCTTGACGAGTCACAGAGGGGTTCTAGAGGTCCTGTAATGGCATTGTGAGATCATACAAGTGTCATGGGTCTCTACAGGTGTCATGGGTCTCTACAGGTGTCATGGGTCTCTACAGGTGTCATGGGTTTCTACAGGTGTCATGGGTTTCTACAAGTATCCTCCAGGTGTCATGGGTCTCTACAGGTGTCCTATAATAACAACTCGGGATTCGATTCCTTTCAGAACACCATTACTGTACAAGGGACCCAAAGGTATTTATTATATTTAGGTGGTGGGTACAGAAGACCAATGTACCAGAGTGAGGGGGGTTACAGTGGTACATTGTAAGGTACAGTCGATTTATAGTGGTACAGTGTAAGGAGGGTTACTGTGGTACGGTGTATGGGGTTACAATGGTACAGTGTGTGGAGATTACAATGGTACATCGGAGGTACAGAGTAAGTGGGTGGTTACAGTGGTACATGAGTGGCTCCAGTGGGCCTCTCCTCCGCCCCTCCCCCACCACCCACCTCCTTCATAGGTCAACATGCAAGAGATCATGAGGTCACAGAGATCAGGTACAGTGTGTCATGAATTTTGACACCCCACAAACAGGTGTCATAAGGTCTCAAATGATGTCATGAAGACTACATTACCTTGTGTCATGAGTTATGCCGTCCAACAGGCTTGTGTCATAAAATCACAATTGGCATCACATGTTCATAGCTTCCGACAGATTGGGTCATAAATGGCATCATGAAAACATAATTAGTGTCACAAGATGATGGCAACGATTACTGGTGTCAAGGAGTCGAGATATAAATCTGAAAGTGGTATCTTAGGGTCAAGATTAATGTCATAAGAAATACTTTAGGTCATAACATTACAACAGTTGGTATCAAAAAAGTTCATCAATTGTCAAGCCATAACTATTGACAGGAAGCAACAAATGGTGACAAAGGGTCATTACTGGTGTCATAAAGTCACATCTAACTTTTCTCTTTATGGTGTCAGGAGATCAGACTGGTGTCAAAATCCGAATTGCCACAACAATTGATGTCATAAGGTCAGATCTTATTACTGTTATAACTGGTGTCATAATGTTGCGTCCCGGTTACAAAAGTGGCCTGACCACATCTAGTGTGGTACCATGAGTTTATAAATGGTGTCAATAATATCACTTTTGTATCATAACGAGTTTCATTACGTGACGTCACTTGTCATTTGCCACTGGCATCGATATTCACGTCATAATGTCACATCTGGTGTCATGGTATTATGAATGGTGTCATACAGTCACAATTAGTGTCATGTGGCATCATAAAGTAACAAACGGTGTCACAACTAATGCCTTAAGGTTACAAATTGGTATCAAAGGTGAAAACTAGTCTCATGTGGTCACCACTAGTGTCATGTGGTCACCACTAGTGTCAAGTGGTCACAACTACAGTAGTGTCATGTGGTCACAACTACAGTAGTCTCATGTGGTCACCACTAGTGTCATGTGGTCACAGCTACAGTAGTGTCATGTGGTCACAACTACAGTAGTGTCATGTGGTCACCACTAGTGTCATGTGGTCACAGCTACAGTAGTGTCATGTGGTCACAACTACAGTAGTGTCATGTGGTCACAACTAGTGTCATGTGGTCAGCTACAGTAGTGTCGTGGTCACAACTACAGTGTGTCATGTGGTCACAACTAGTGTCATGTGGTCACAACTAGTGTCATGTGGCCATAACTAGTGTCATGTGGTCACAACTAGCGTCATGTGGTTACAACGAGTGGCATGTGGTCACAACTAGTGTCATGTGGTCACAACTAGTGTCATGTGGTCACAACTAGTGTCATGTGGTCATAACTAGTGTCATGTGGTCACAACTAGTGTCATGTGGTCATAACTAGTGGCATGTGGTCACAACTAATGTCATGTGGTCATAACTAGTGTCATGTGGTCACAACTAGTGGCATGTGATTACAACTAGTGTCATGTGGTCATAACTAGTGGCATGTGGTCACAACTAATGTCATGTGGTCACAACTAGTGGCATGTGGTCACAACTAATGTCATGTGGTCACAACTAGTGGCATGTGATCACAACTAATGTCATGTGGTCATAACTAGTGGCATGTGGTCAAAATTACAGTAGTGTCATGTGGTCAGAAGTTGTGTCATGTGATCACAACTCGTTTCACGTGGTCACATCTAGTGGCATGTGGTCATAACTTGTGGCGGTGTCATAAGGTCAGCTAGTGTCATAAGATCACAATTTAACGTGTCATAAGGTCAGAAATGTCGTCATGTGTGTCTTAAACTGCCACAACAGGTGTCATAGTCACAACTAATGACAACATAAAGTAAGATATCAAAATGTCACAGCAGGTGTTAAAAGGTAACACTGTTATAACAGGTGTCAAGTCAAGTTACTAGAAAGCATCACAACAGGTGTCATGAGCTCTGTGACTCATGTTACTATCAGGATGAGAACCATGCAGTAAATTTGTTGTCACAATACAACAGTCGGGTCAACACAGGACCCGTTTGATAATGCTGTACTGTTCTGGGAAAAAAATAAAAAATAAAATCAAGCAAAATGATGAAAAGACAAGTTTAGAAATTTATTGAAGTAAATAATTTTTTCCACTATTCTTTTCTGATAAACGAAAAAAAATCTTTGGGGTTCAAGAAATGTAGAGATCGATTTAACAGTAAAGAGATAGAATTTAACATTTTAGAACTTTGATAGATATAATAATTAATACAATTTTCAAACTGAATTCACCTGTAAAATTTGGATTTGATTTTATTCAGATAAAAAATAATATATATAATTTCGATTTTTTTTAATTTATATTTTGGAATTTTGTTTTCTCGTGATTTCTAATTTTAATAAGTTTTGGGGAGGAACAGAATAACAAAGTGAATTTTAACAACCTGTTCAAATATTTAGAAAATCCCAAATTCAGGTAACTTGTATACTGTATTTTTTTTTATCCTCACAAAATATACAAATTATCAAAGAATTTAAACTTATATATGAACAACACACACACTCAGATGAACAGAAATGTATGTCTTTTTAAACGGACAATGAAATTTGACCATCTCCCAGAAGACCAAGACCTTGCAGTTTGAGGGTCAGAGACCGTATTCATGGTTCGCACTCTAGGTCATAGTTAACGCGCCAGTGGTTCCAGCCTTCCTTGTCATGGCAGCACTGTCTAATGGGAGGGAGGGGTGGAGGCGATGAGGGGAGGCTCAGTTGGGTCAACGAGACAGGTTGGTATGGGAGGTAGTGCGTGTAAAGGAGGGAGCGGTGTGGGGGAAGGGAAAGGGTGGAGAATTAAGGATCGTGGAATGAGGTTAGAAGGGAAGAGGGAACAGCCAAGGAGAGGAGTCGGCTAAGGTGAGACGATGATAATGGAATATACAAATGAATAAGTAGAAATAACAAGAAAATTATTTGAGCAACAAGCAAAGCAGACAATAAGAATATAAACATAAGCAGATATATGGGAGATAAGAGAATGCTCGATAAATTGAGGAATGTAGACAAGGGCGACGAGATGTGAGCTGTGTGGTGACGACAGAATGTAGATGAGCGAAAACTCGACTTCTGGAGTGAGGTTGGTGGTTGTAGTGGTAGTTGTGGTAGTGGTGGTTGCAGTGTTAGTTGTGGCACTGATGGTTGTGGTTGTAGCAGTAGCAGTTGCTGGTAGTTGTTTTGGTGGTAATTGTGGTAGTAGCCACTGCTATTGGTAGTAGTAATGGTGGTAGTAGTAGTAGTAGTAGTAGTAGTAGTAGTAGTAGTAGTAGTAGTAGTAGTAGTTTCTTATGTATTAGGATATTTAATATTAAGGTAAATAAATGGTGGCGAAGGTGTGGCTATCGGGGGAGGCTGGAGGCCACGTGTTTAAAAAAAAAAAAAAAGTAGTAGTAGTAGTAGTAGTGGTGGTGGTGGTAGTAAGATGAGAAGTAGTCATGATAGTACAGTACAGTAGTTAGTCGAACAAGCACACATGCAAATGTTAGGTGAGAAGCAAAATAAAATATATACACATGGAGTTAAAAAGGACACTCATCCTTATATTACCACAGAGGCTTCCCACTACGCCCGTGTTACCCGCATTACCCTGCAAGAGAAGAATATTAGCTTAAATATATACACAGGTGCAGTAGGTCGCTGGAGGACACTTTACCTTCCCCACAACCTGTACTGGCTGGAGTGTTCGTGGGTGTTCGACCTGTGAGGCTGAGGAGGGAAAGGCAGACCGACACAGAGAGAGAAACACTACTACACACGGCAGACACACACTCACAACACACAAAGAGATATATCCCTTAACCCTGAACGGACGTAGGAGGCGGTGAGGACAAACTACACACACAAGAAATAAATATACAAGAGAACACCGAATACACCTCCTCCCCTCCCCCCTAAAAAGGATTTATATCAAGCGATGCCACCAGAACATTAAGCAGTGCCACGATGGAAAAAAAAAAGAACAGGATTGACTATGTTGGTGTTGGTAGGTCCTGGGCCGGGTCTGTTAGCCGTAGGTGTGTGCGGGACTGCAGACGGGTGAAGGTACAGTTCACAGCCGCAATATAGCCCTTAAGAGTCAAAGGGACGGCTTAGTGGCTGTGCTGGGGAGTGAAGGCCAAGCTGGGTGTTGCAGGACTCTGGATGAAGCTTTTTACCTATGAAGCGGTTGCTGGTAGATGCATAATGGATGTGGCGGAGGAGGAGGAACGGTATAGATCGATGAAGCTTATTTGATGGATGATGAAAGGCCTGATAACTGACTGATGACTCAGCATGATGTTATAATGTTGGATGAAGGTAATGTTGGCAGATGATGTCATATTGACGAGTAAAGAGAACAAGCAGATAATGCCGAAGCTTTGATGGATGAAGGCAAATCTAGCAGTTATGAATGACACTGACGGATGGGATCGCCAGGGCAGGCAGAGGTAAACGAGGCTAGCAGCTAGCAGGGTGGGAGTACACACAGCGCTTTGAAGGCAGAAGAGAGTCATGGGGACTCTCAGGGTGTAGGCAGGGGGTTGGGAAGGCCTGGATGAGATGGCTACCTTCGGATTTAGGAGTGAGGATAACGTTGGAACACTTGGGGACGCGGGAGGGCAGGTCACAGGAGCCAAGATGGTCGTTCCACACCAGCCCGCCAGTACAGTGCCCCACTGTGAAGTACCCCTTAGTACACTTCACTACAGCGGTGCACTGAGGGCCCTGGAACGCCTGACCTTCGTTGGAGCAGCGTGGACGAGCTCTTACATCTGCCTCATCATCATCATCATCTTCCAAGTCACGAATGGACAGTGAACCTGTGGGGTTTTCATTACACTTACGGGGACACAATCTGGCTAACGGGGAAGATGAGGAGGACCCCACTTCATTCTCTCAAAGTCACATTGATGGATTCCGTCATTGCTAGGCGATATATAGATCCAAGATGCTACAGATAATGGAGTGTGTAGATAGCTCTCTGGCCAAATATAAAATTTTCAATACCTGTAGAAGCAAATTCCCTCAGAACACACACTAAATAGTGACGTACGTAAATGAATTCACCATCTGGATCCTGCTTGATAATTTGTGCTTGCATGCCAGGTATCATGCACAAGAGGTCATGCAGTCATACCCAGGAACATAATCATATAAGTTGGTGAGCTGACATGCTACATCCCATGCATGAGTGTTGTGTTTATGTATTTATTATTAATCATTATGATTGTTATCTATACAAAGTGCAATTCAGTGTCTCACTCCTCCAACGGTAGTGACAACTCGACCCAAGGAACACTTAGAACTAACCTGAATCTTTAATTGATTATTTCACGGCCTACTTGTCTTATTATCATAGCTAAACGTAAAGAAATCATTAACCAACATGTTATATTGTCGTCAGTCATTAGCTGTAAAACATAGACTCGGTTGGTGATCATGACAGCTTAACAGACAGGTCACGTACCAACACAGCCAGTGACCAGTTCTCGGTCGTCATCAACACACTAGTCTATAATTCAGTCAGTTTATCATCAGTAACCTGGTGTTGTATGAGATGACAACACAACAAAACCTATCATTGAGTCTCAAGAGTTTCGTTTACGTCCGATATTAGAATACGGTAATGACAGAGTGAAGCACAGTACGTCTATTTTGAGAAAAATTGTATTACATTTCTCTGACTATTGCAGTTCAGCATCTCTCAACAATTTAATTATATTGAAAGAAGTTTGGTGATACAGTATTTACATTCAGACAAAATACACCAACAGTAATATTCAGTAATACTGTATAAACATTCTTCTATATCATCAATATTAAACTACATGTGATTTAATGTTTTAGATTCAGGACTCTCAACACACTGTTTATCGCTTTAATAACTCACACGTGATTATCGATAAAACAACACTACATATCGTCAAACTTAAGTGTTACCGTATCTTATTTTTATATGTTTTCACTCTCAGTTCACGTTATTTACAGACTTATTAAAGTATTTATGACTAGTGGCTATAATAATGTAGAAAAATTACTGTAATCATTTGTGAACGATACATTAATCTGTTTGTGAATGCTTGTTTGTTTACCTATGAGATGGACCGAACTTCACTTTGCTCACATACGTACAATATATTTACGAAATGGAGGAAAATAGTTAAGAAAATAAAATAAATAAATAAAAAACTCAATGAAAACAGGAAACGAGGAAGTTTTAAATAGAAATCAGTATATTGTAGGTAATATGTTCACAGTTGCTACAAGTCACAAGAAAAAAACACATCGGTCTGACTATCATAGAATGGAAATATTTTAATCTCGACGATCAGTAATTAATAAAACGCTTATACATATTAGTTGTTTTTAAGATAAGAGTTTAGAGGTCTTGTTCACACATACAATACAAACTTCCTGCATTGCATCCCCTCATATCAACATGGTCTATGAGATGTTACTATCAATATTTATTTACAGTAATGTTTACTGGTATGCCATTCACATCTCAATATTTCTGACCAAAAGAAAGTTAACAACACGAAAGATTAATTTATTGTATTTTGTTCATACCTTTAGAGAGAGTTAATGAAACAAACAAATACCAGGAGAATTAACTACAAAAATACGTGTTCTTAATAAAACGTATTTGTAGTTTTGTGTTACCTGCAGAATGACGTCATTAGAAATAAACAAATGAATAAGCTTTAACTACATGGGACGTATAACTCATTAAAATGACTATCTGCCACGAGTATTCTGTACATGTATATATTTCAACACCACAGAAAGTTGACGAAGATCCACACTGGTATTTCAGTATGTTTGGGAATGCTTTCTGGGTGGGTTTTTTTTTTTGTATTTCGAGTTAGTTGAAGAATCGTAAGATCAGGTGAGAACGACTTGTATTTAAAACCCTCATCGTGAAAAGGGTTATGGTATTTAACTATCTTTAACTACCTATAAAAGAAATAAAATAAGATATTCTTTTATAAATGTCTAACCTCCGAGAGAAACAGCAGAAATAAAGGAACAATGGAGGTCGCATACTCACTAGAACACTTAGCTAGTTGAGGCCAGTCGCAGATTTTGATGTGGTCGTTCCAGTGGAGACCTTCAGCGCAGCGCAGCGTGAGCCATCCTCCGTTCACACACTGTTGGAAACTCTTACAGTCCCCAAAGACGCCCCTGGTCTTGCTTTCTGTACAGGTTCCTGAGGTAGTAGGTTCAAAGGGCTTGGCTGGTGGACGGTGGGTGGAGACAGAAGCTATAGTGTGGAGGGGTGTGGTGGTGGATGACAAGAGGTTGGTGGAGCGAGAGGACATCCACCAATCGAACTTGCGTGTTGTGGTTCTGGGTCTCCAAGTGGTGGTGGGTTTGGGCTGCCACCAGGGTCTTGTACTGCCTTTAGTAGTAATAGTAGTTGGTGCAGGAGTCCACCACCAGGTCACTGTGGACCGCTGGGTGGTGGCGGTTGTAGCTGGTGTGGTGGCGGTGGTTGTAGCTGGTGTGGTGGCGGTGGTTGTAGATGGTGTGGTGGTGATGGTGGTGGTAGGCTCGAAGGGTATTGGGGTGACTGGTAACATAGGCCGGATGGCATCTGGTGGTGGTCTGCCTACAAGAAGAGACAAAGAGATACTTGTCATGTCTCAAGTTATTTAATATGTCCTTCCCTCTCACTGACTCTCTCTCACCTAACACACATTCCCTCTCTCCTTCTCCCCCTCCCTCCCACTCTTCCTCCCACCATACTTTCTCTCCTACCCCTTCCTCTCCTTACACTCACGTCACACCTGCAAAACTCGACACAATTTTCCCTCTCTCGACAACACAACTGATAAAAAAGAAAAAGAAATAAATAAAGTCACCTCCTGAACTGAGCAAATTAAGAGTAGGCCTTAGGACCAAGTAGCCTGCAGCCCTAACAAGGCTTAGGTTAGGTTAGGTTAGGTTAGGGTTCTCAACACCAGCAGTTTAACCACTCGGTCACAGATTCAATTAGCCTAAAAAAATCACTTCCACAGTTAAGTCAACACAAAGGTTGTTAAAAGAAAGTTGTAAAGTCACTATCACATACATTGATTTACAAACTGCTTTGTAAAAAATATAACACACACTAACCTCAAGAAAGCCAAGCTAACCTGCCCTATAACCTAACTTAACTACACACACTCAAGTTGATCACTACTAACCTAACCTAACCAAACCTAATTAGTTAATATTGAAAGAGATCAGCTGGCCACCAAGAACAGCACCGTCATCCACCCAATAAACCGCGTTTGAAGAGGCAGGGGAGGGCGGGGCATTGACCTGCTCCAAGGTAGAAAGCTCGTTAAGTCTGCCCGCCCTTGGTGTTAAACTTATAGCACCACCACTCAGCCGACAGAGGGAGGGGGGGGGCGTGTTAGCAGGAAATATAGCGTTAATTCCCATAAATATTAAGTACATTGTTAGTGTTGTCAACTGATGAAAAGGTGGGAAGGAAATGACCGATTAGCCACGCATTCTAAATAAAGAATAAAGCAAGAGATAGAATAATAAATAAATAAATAGCCGTCGTCAGGTGGCGGTATACACTGCTCTTCCAAAGTGCAGCAGCACTTTGGAAGGCTATGGAATTGCAGCCATATATTGTACATGTACTATACAGTACTGTATTGTATATACTAAAAGCTGTGCAGTAGCAAAGTTATGGAAGGTGAATAGCAGTAAAATCAAGATGTGCAACACACGCAGGAAGCAATTAAAAGCTTAAAATAGCAGAATCTAAGGCTGTAGAAGGTACAATATATACTGTAATAGCAAAAGCTAAAATACCCGGTAATCATAGGAAAGGTTTCACAACAAAGTAAAATGGATTCATAACAAATGAAGGAATACATGATCCAAGCAAACACAACAATAAATGAAAGAAATGGGAGGCTTTACAGCATAAAACACTCTGTGTAGGGAGGTGTCTACCTAATACCTACTTGGGCGCTTCTTGCATTTGGCATTGCTCGGCCAATCGCAATTATTGGTCTTCGCGTTCCAGTGTAGTCCAGGTACACAGCGATTCTCCACAAGCTCACTGTTGACGCACCTGCAAGGATAAAACACAAAACCCATGAATCCGGATTGAGCTTTCTGTCATACAGAAACACAATTATTGCGAGATATTTTTTGCACATAATTCTTCCACCAGATTTTTCATTCAATTCATTAAGACGATGGATTCAGTGAAGCTAAAATGAACAATGAGAACCTACCAACTGTGGTTGATTAGAAAACAATAAAAAATGGGTATCATATGTGATATACATAAGGAGGTGATTAAGTAACAAGGAGAGGTGATTGGGAAGCAAGGAGGAGGTGATGATAATGATGAAGAAAATAAGTCAAGATGATGGTGAAGTCGAAGGTGAAGAAATGAGTCAAGCTGTAGGTGAAGGTGACTGACTAGGTTGGAGCCTTACTTCAGGAATTGGTCACAGTTGCCAATCTTGGGGAAGTATTCGCCGGCTTTACACGAGTCGCCGGGTCTTGGACCTCCTGCTTCAGCTGGTGGTGGCCTCATGCCTGCAGTCGTAGTGGGCCTCCTGGTGGTAGTTATGGTAGTCAACCAGGGCCACCTGGCGGTAGTTGTAGGAGTCGTGGTTGCTGTTGTTGTTATTGTTGTTGGTGTCTGTGTAGTAGTAGGAGGCCAATGAGGCTTCTGTGGGGTGGGTGGCCACTGAGGCGTCTCAGTACTGGGAGGATACGGAGGGGCCATAGTTGTGGTCTTTTTAGTGGCTGGCTGCCAGGGGGTCATCCAAGCTGGGGTGGATTGGGTTGTACCTCCCTCCACAGTAAACTTGCCGTACTCTGAGGTAGTGGGCTTCTTGCTGAACACTGATGACGTCAGAGAGGAAGAGAAGAACAAAGTTAATGGAGGATGTCCTCAAGAAACAGACTCCTTGACCCTTGATACGAGAGGGAGTCTATCTATTGATCCTAAGTCTCTTTCCCTCCGTATTAATGTACCTCAATTTTAATATTATATTATGAATGGTTTATAGAGTATACAGTGGCCTTGGCCTATTCCTTTCACCAATATTTTTTTTTATATCACCACATTACAGCCCAAAATAAATTGATCAATAATGTCATTCTATGCTAATAATAACTGACACAATGGTTATCTTAGCTTTGTCATCCTTCACCAGTAATGTATTCCATTATTATATCCTGTGTATCAATTTCCTTCACATCAAGCATTATAACACAGTCAACACAGCAATTGTCATACATCAACACGTCATGTTTTAGTCATTCATCAGTAGCACGTAAGGTAAAGCTTTCACACTTCATAACACAATTACCAAAATATAACAATAAAACAAAACAAATACATATCCCAAGGCACCAACAGTTAGGTTTTTCTTACAATTACCAAAAACCAAAGCGTAAGCAATATTTGGGTCCCAAGACGATCTTGATCATCAACTTACCATCTGAAGATACGAAGGTTCAGCGGCCAGCGAAGGACACACACACAGCGAGGGAAAAACACACGAGAATACTATTACAGCATGTGACTTTAATAATAAACTCAATAGGGACGACAAATTAAACTTAAGAAGCTCAAATTCTAATTACTTCTCTTCAAAATTAAGTATTCATGAAAGTCCCGGATTTTCAATTAGGAAGTAAAATATTCGACAATAATACACAATTGGTTAGTATCGTGTACAATGATGGTGCGTTGGTCCTGTTTCATATTTTATTTTTTTTTTTTTACAGTATCTCAAAAATTTGGTGTTATTGATCATATTTGATTTTCGTGACAATCTGAGAATTTTTGTACAGAACGTCTTGCTGATTTTTTTTTTTTCGTGAGCTTTGGCAGTATATGTTGTGGTGATTCGTGACCTATGTGGATTGACTCGTGACGTATGTGGATTGACTCGTGACGTATGTAGACTGATTCATGATGTATGTAGATTGACTCGTGACGTATGTGGATTGACTCGTGACGTATGTAGACTGATTCATGACGTATGTGGATTGATTCGATATTTACGTTGACTGATTCATGATAAAGATTAGTGGATTTCGTGCTATATAATGTCAGTTTCGTGGTTTGGTTTGATGTACTGTATTATCGTAAAAAAAAATTGGCTGGTTTCGTCACTTTGTTCTGTGGTTTGTGACCTAAATTTGTCGGTTTCTACTCATTTTCTTCATAGACTTTGTTGGTTTCGTTATATTTGTTTACTGGTTTCAAAATAGATTCGTTGTTTTTTTTTGTGAGATAATTTGTTGGTTTCTTGATAAAAGTTCGTTAGTTTCGTGTCAAATATTTTTGGATTCGTGATGGAATATGTTGGTTTCAACAGATTAAACTTGCTGATTTTTTAATAAAATTTCTTGGTTTCGTGATGTAAAATATTTGGTTTCATAAAGTTCTCTAAGACTCGTGTTGGAGGAACGGGAGGAAAGGTGGAAGGAGTGGTCATGTAAAGCCTATAGTACGTTGAAAATAGATCACTGGTCTGTCTTACCTACCACACAAGGAAGAGTCCCCACCCATGTGTTTCATCCCGACAAAAAGAATCCCCACAACTTACCTGAGGCGTAAGTAGTGGTCCTAATGGGCGTGGGCGGGGTAACTCCAATAGATGGCTTGGCACAGTTTCCTCCAGGTCTTGGGGGTGGGTAAGGCACACTCCTCAGGACCCTGTTGATGGAGCGGAGGTTGGGCATGGACTCTCTGCAGCATTCATTATAGAGATCGTCGAAGCTCAGGTCCCACACCATGGCCCCACCATAGCCGGATTCCTTGATGAAGGTGGCCTTACGCTCGGCGGTGGCCGGGTCGTCATAGGAGTACCACTGGTCGCCCTTGTGAGCATAGGGGCCGATGGCTCCTGTAGCATCTACCACCTTCGACCACCCTGGCGTGCGGACTGGTGAAGAGAGAGATAAAGGTAAAATATTAATCATCTCAAGGGATATTTTTTACTGAAACAAAATATTCCCAATTTATTTACTTTTATTTCGTTTCATGTCCAGCGTCAGCCGACATGGAGGTACTGCGCCTTTATGTAACCAGCAAATTACTTATTTTTGGCTGCAATCTGTCACTTCAACTGCAAACCTTTCCTGATCTGACTGACAGAAGTTTCCTGTTTGTGCATTTTTAATGCAACTTAAAGCAGCCAATTACTAAGTCTTAGTCACTTATTTTTCCAAGGTTATTTACTTTATATATTCTTCAAATTTAATCAAAAGTTGCTTCCATAAGCCTTCACTCGGCTCAAACACCTGCACTTCCCCAAAATAAACTTAGAAACCCATTCACAGGTGAACTAGAGTTGCACTGGGTGTAAAGCAGCTACCCTTAGGTCAGGAGGAGAGTGTACTTCGCTGTCACACCCTGCAAATGGAAGTAAATCCTCCACTTGACATGATGTTACATTAGTGGTTAGGTTAGTTTAGGTTAGGTTACGGTGTTTAATCATGTCAAATAAACCACGGTGCCTAAACTCATGATCCGACAGAACTACCACAACTCACCAGCCTGGCAGATCTCAAAGTAAGCGAGCATCCCCCTCTGTTGAGTGATGGTCCCTCGCTCACCACTACCAGAGACGGGGGCGTTGAGGCCATTCTGGGAGGGGTTGGTCAGGGTGAACGTCTGCCCATAGAAGGGTATACCCATCACCAGCTTCCCTGGGTCGGCACCTCTCTCCACCCAGTGCTTGAGGGAGTACTCAGTGTTCTGACTCACGTACCTACGAGGAGAAGGAGAAGTTGTTAGCATGTTGGCAGCATGCGTTGGGTATGAAACAGTGTAGTGACTTTGTGAGAGAACTGGTATAAAAGACAGACAGATAGATTTAATGAACTCACTTGTCTTCAGGTCTGGTGTGGAGGGGAGCGACATGACCAGTCTTCCCCTCCCAAGCACCATGGAAGTCGTAGGTCATAACGTTAATGAAATCGAGATGACGGGACAGTTCAGGCACCTCGTAGGAGCGGTCAATGGTGTTGCGGGCGGGAGACACGGCGGCCGACAGTAACAAAGGCGGAGACTGGGTGTTGAAGGCTGCCTTGAGCTCCTGTAGAAGGTCAAAAGTGTTGTGATATGTAGGTCCTCTGAGGTTACTGTGTTATGTGCGGGGAACTCAAATTTTCACCAATGTTTAGATTCTGTTTATTGTTTCATTTCTGTCTCCATCTACATTATCTCTCTCTCTCTCTCTCTCTCATACAATAACTCTACCTTTATCAGGGAGGTGAAGCCCGACACATCAGACTGAGGGCCCTTAGAACAGTCCATCTGCCAACACTTGGGGAACATCCACCCAAAGTCCAGACCGTCAAAACCGTAGATCTTCAACACATCAGTAGTATGCTGCACAAACCTGCGTCCAGAGAGGTGAGAATCTCATATTTGTGGACCTGAATTTCATTCTTATGAGCCGGTAAAGTTATGTCAATGTTTTATGATATGTTATTGTTTACAGTTATCACCATCTTAATTGTATTACTGTATTATGTATTGATGTTGTTTATACGAGCTGCTTTGGGCGTTGTTCTTGTGTTATTGTATAGGATTTTGGAACTTGTGAATAAAGAGTTTCAAGTCTATTTTATTATCTTAATTTTTTCTTCTTTTAATTTTAGTATCGTGGGGGAAGATATACATTAGTACAGTATTGTATTGTGGTCTAATTATTATACTATAGTTATTTGTACTGTATGTAAATTCTCTCTCTCCAGGACTTACTTGGTGGCAGCCTTGGGGTCATTCACCAGACGAGAGTACTTGTTGCTCACAGAGTCCACCCAGCCTCCCAGACCCAGCATTACCTTTAGGCCCGGGGCTTTCTGGCGCAGTGCGAGGATACGTTCATAGAAATCTGAGAGTAGAGAATATAATCCGTTAAGGTGGTAGAAAATCTAGTACTAAACTTGACTACACATAATGGTTGCCCCTCGTCTAACGAGGATGGCCGGCCCAAGGGCCACCTTGGCGTGAATTTGTTTAAGGTGTAGAAGCTGTCATCAACACAACAACTACACCCTAAGTTAACGAGTCTCATGACCCAGTGTCAAGGAATAGTCCGAGAAAACCGGACAACTCGCCAACTGCACTGGTTAACCATTATCCCCGGAACACGATCCGCAAATCGATTAACATCCAGGTCCCCAATTACTGCTGGGTAGCCAGAGGCAAATGGCGTAAAGAAACTTGCCCAAAGTTTCACCCTGCCCGGGGATCGAACCCGGGTCCGCTAGCTTGCGAGGCGAGGAGACGACCATTACACCACATAACAATACACACACACACACACATACTTACATAATATATAGCAGACATACACACATCCACTTACAGTACATACAGTAATTATAAACATAGACACACACACACACACCAAAAACTTTGATTCAGAATTAAACTCACTGTAGTCAAAGTCCAAGAAAGGATCCAACGCACGCATCACCAACTCCGAGGGGTCGAGCATGGCGTAAGCGTATACCAGATGCGTACAGAGGGAAGGATCGACGTATTCTGGAGCAAACTTGTAAGGACTTTCTCTGTGATATGCCCAATTGGTGAAATAACACACCACTTTGTAGCCACCTGGAGGAAGAAGAAGAAGTCAGTGGGTAGGTGGTCAGGGGTGTGTTTAGGTGAGCTTGTTTTGATGGAGTGAGGAAGAAGGTGGAGGTGAGATGAAGGCAGGAGAAAAATGATAATAATGATCGTAATAACAACAACAATAATACAAATGATATTACCATTAATACCTAACAATAATAATAAAATACCCACATTAAAATAATCAGACTAAAAAGAGCACATCATGCTTGTACTCACTGGGATCAGCCATTTTTAAAAGGGCTTGAGTGTCGGTGGGCAGCTCCTTCTCCACCCATATGGTCTGCCCAGGTAAACAGTACTTCTGGTCAGGCTGTGTACACGCACCTGGACGGAGGGAGGAAGGAGGAGGTATTATACTCAGTGTTAATAAGGGTCAATAAGAGATGTGACATAACTTCATCCAATTACTATTTTAGTCTAGCTAAGAACTTGGAGACAGACAGTGTTATCCCAATGGGTCCATATGGGTAGGAATTAGGTGTTAAGTCTGTGTGAAAATGTACGTAATTCGCTTTGTTTTATTATATTTTTTGTGGGGTTCTTATTATCACGTTTGTAAGAGGTTTCAAATCTGGGACTCTTGGACGACCTTATGCTCAGATAAGTCATCGTCCCAACAGACCCTAATCACACCTTATCTAACCATTTTAATTGGGATATTGGGACCCTTTATGATTTTGGTCCATTAGGATAGATAACTATTAGGTTTGTCGTTTATAAGTCTGAAACCCCCTTTATAAATGGGGCCCACTGGGAATGGAACTTAATCATAATAAGCAATTTTAGGTTACGTTTGGGGCCCATCTATCAACTCATCCTTGTATACTATATAAATAAAAGTTCTATTCTACAGTAAAGTATTTCCATGATGAGTTAATATCACTCTTACCACTAAAGCGTGCATGCTTAGCGTTTGTTGTGAACACTTGATGTGCAGAGGCTATCATGATGGCTGATACAAGTGGTGGATGTCTTGTGTTATGTTGGTCCTAAGATGAGTTTTATAATCGTCACAAGCACCTATTAGTTACGAAGCACCTGGCGCACACATCAAAACACATCACTGTAATAGTCTGGGGAAGTGTTTTATCGGTGTTGGCTGTTAAACACTCTGGCTTTTAATGCTGTTTCTACCTCAGTTTCCAATTCTACGTATTGTATGGTTCCGTGTTCCTATGATGATTGAACAAAAAAAATATAGTTTCATTCCACGTTCCTTTATTAGATGAAGTGTTTTCTGCCTACCAGGTTTGTTAAACAGCGTTTGTCCATGTAACACGGTGTTGTATTTTTTTTTGTAGTGCATGTTAATCCCTGTCCATCATCTTTGATCCCCCTGTGTAATTCTCAGGTTAATTGGTGTCCAAGCCATGTACACAAGCTGGTCTCAAGTATGTGTCTGCGCATACGGATTAAAATCACCATGACTGTCTCATCTCGACAACGGTATCATCTTTACCTGTCCTTGGATGGAAGAATGTGCCATGTTGGCAGGAAAACCTGGAGGCGACGCCCTGCTTACACCAGGTAAACATTCGACAGTCTTCAGGGTCAGTAAACAGCCCATCCTTCTCACACTTGCTCTTACCTGTCAACACCCGGGATCAAGTCAACGCCTTAAACTCTCGTTAACTCTCCTCCATGTCTGTGACGCTGTGAGCCTATGACACAGCAGCCTTTGGCCTTCTCTTACTAATCTCAGAGCCTCAAGACTGTCATGAGTTCGTTACAGAGTAAACTCTTGGTTTTTCTAAGTTCATCTGTACTGTGAGGTGAGACAAGAACCCTGGCAGAGGTTTATTTAGAGTTTACGACACTCAAACACTACCCATTAGAGCACACTCCCCTTACACGCCCCTCTTGCTGTGTGCATGTGACAGAATATCCTACAGGTCCTAAAGCTGTCATTTCTGCCACACACACACATCTTACAGCCTCCTCAGTTGTGCTGTGAGCGTTTGACACAATCATTCTCTCTCTCACAACAGGAAAATGTATAGCTTAAAAAACATCATTTTAAAAGCCAAAGTTAAGTAATTATTATACGAAAATAGAGGAAATAATCAACAAATACAAGAAAAACAAACTGGATTAAAATAGGAGAAAAAACAAATAACGATAAAAAGACTAAACAGAAAATAAACAAGACTGAAATAAATTAACCGTTGGACGTTTTAAAGCAGAGAGAATAATCGGGTAAGAACTTGGCAAAAGATAACCAGAGAATTAAAAAAATGAGATAACTAATGAGCCAAGAAAGAAGAAAATTATATTAAAACAAAACATTTATATATATATATTTCTTCAGATAAGACGAAGTTATAATTGATAGATAAGAAAGACACAAGAGATAATGTAAATTAGATGAATTATAAAAAAGAAAGAAAAAGAGAAAGCAAAGAGAGAGAAGAGAAAGAGAGAAGAGAGAACCCAGAAACTCAAGACACAAACTTCAACAAAAAATTTCTCTTTTAACTTACTGAAATGTGCAGCACCAGTCCCACACTCAACGTGCTGTGGCCAGTTGCAGAGTCGACGCATCAGGTCAAACACCAACCCCTCCGGACACACAAACTTGTAAGCTATGAGTGTGTTATCACAAACATAGTACACAGTGCAGTCCACTTCCTCCCTGAAGAACCCGGGACCTGTGGATAGACGAGGTCGTTGTCTATGGGCTTAAGATTAGGAAGTGGATAGGTTAAGTCTAGTCGATTTGAGGATAGTAGGGAGTAGGTATTTATTCACTTAAAAAACATGAATGGATAGTACTCATTCTATTTCTCTAGATAGATAGAAGTAAGCACATAATTGGAAAGAGTTAATTTATATTCTAATCCCATTAAAAATAAATAAATAAAGAAACAGAAAACGGCAGCAGTCTCCTAGATGATGATTCCCTGCAAGAAGAGATTTTGGGTCCCCAGGTGAGTGTTCTAACATACATCCTTAACAAACAGGTGTACTCACGTGGGCAATTAAAGGATGGAACAGGTGTAGTAGTAGTCGGTTCCGTCGGGGTCATGGTAGCAGGTGCGTGGCTATGGTCCTCTTCATTGACAACTTCAGAAACATTACTGGCTGAATTGATGTTGGTAGATGTGGTGGTGGTAGTTGCGGTAGTGTCTCCTGAGTCTGTTGCTGATGGGGTAGGTGATGGTTAAGAGCCAGCCATCCATCTTCTTGGAGCTCCTCATCCAACCAGAGAGATTAAGGTAGGTAGGTGTGTGTGTGTGTGTGTGTGTGTGTGTGTGTGTGTGTGTGTGTGTGTGTAGGGGGGGGTGTCAAGCAGGAGAAGAATGGTAGTGAAACATGGTATGGAGATGCAATGGTAAAGGGAAAATGGTACTAAGAAGAGGAGAGTTGTACCAGAAACTCCGAGAGACAATTTTCTATTCCAACATGTTAAAAGATCCGATTCATTACAGAGGGGAGCAAACACCCAAACCGCTGGACCTCATCATAACTAACTGCATTAATAGAGACCGAAAAGGACCTGGGTGTGTATGTTAACAATAAACTGAAGTTCTTGGGCCATTGTGAGAAGGTGAATCATGCAACTAAATTAGTAGGTCTTATAAGAAGGTCGTTCAGATATCTAAACGGTCAGTCCCTCGTAACGATCTTCAAGAGTGAGGTGCTTCCCCGCCTGGAGTACTGTCAGTTGATTGAAAATGTCCAAAGGAGGGTCACCAGAGTGGTGCCTGCACTTACATCTCAGTTATCCAGAGAGACTAGAGCGCTTTCAACTGTCTAGCTTAAACTACAGACGGGCAAGGGGTGACCTAATTGAAGTATATAAACATCTCAAAAGGCACTACTCGCTTGAGTGTCCATACCTGGAGCTGGCGGACGTCCACCCCACAAGGGGTCACAGCCACAAGTTCAGAAAACTGTGAGTGCAAACATTTTCGGAGTGAGAATTGTGAACTCTTGGAACAATCTGCCAGAGAGTGTTGTGGCGACAAGACCAGACTTAACCAATACCGGAGCAGGTTCAGATACATTCAGGAGTCAGTGCATGTCCAGTACTTGCTAATAGTGGGTAACAGCGACGTGACCGATAGCCCAAGCGGCTATCGAGCCGTCAGTGGCGAAGAAGATAAAGTAAAAATAAGATACCTCTCATGATGACAAATGACGACAACAGTGTTACTGATCATGGTAGGAAGGACATGGTAGCGTGGTGATGGTGGGGAGACTGATGGTAATGCAGCGATGGTGGGTAAAAGATGATAGCGTGATCATGGTAGGTAGGACATGGTAGTGTGGTGATGGTGGGGAGAAGCATGATAGTGTGGAAGTCTTGGTGCTGTATTAATAGTGAATATGACATAGTAGTGTAGCATCATAATTGTGTAATCATAGTAGTGGTAGTGTAGGGGCAGAAAATGACACACATGGTACAGTATGGGAAGGAGGGGGGGAGGGGGGGGGTGGGGTTAACAGAGGTTGCAGGTACACCCGCTCTCCTCTCTCCCACCTACCAAAATGACAGCACATGTGTAAAGAGGAAGTGTACCAAACACAACACACCTGTATAACACAATCAGGGACTATTTACAGTACAGGTGAGTGTCGTCGTTATGTTGAGAATCCGGATGTACAACACTGCAGGTATACAGTACATATAAAGCAGGTCTTTGGTATGTACACCTGACAAGCAGAGGAAAACATACTGATGAACAAACAACAAAAGATGAAAGAAGTGATACATGCATAAAGATTTAAGAGAGAATGAAAAATGAATAAATACAGTCAGAGACACTACTAAAGATAAATAAACACACAGGAATAACATCATATGAAGAAATATTGTAGTCACATGGAAAGATGTTATTAAAGGAAGGAAACCAGGAAATACTGTAGCTAGTCAAGACCCCAAAGAAACGTGTAGTTAAGCGGTGGACATCTATGAAAAAAAAAGGTAAAATCACATCGTCAAACACATTCAAATTCTCTTAAAAAGTAAATATTCTATTTTACTTGATTGCGGCGGTGCGGTGGTAGTAATAGTAGTTGTCGAGGGTGTTGAGGGTGCTGGGGGTCCTACGGGTGTGTCGTGGACTACATGATGAGACATATCGCCTGCCAGGGTCTGCTTGAGCCCTAGGGTACGGCGGATAGTGGATAGGAGAGGCCATCGTTCCCCACCACACACTCCCTTGTAGTCGTCCAGGTCGATCGCCCACACCATTGCTCCCCCCAGTCCCTCCGCCTTGACCAGCTCCATCTGTAGTTAAATGCTTTATTTGTTCAATCATATTTCTTAGATGCCATATATATCACCTTCTGAATCAATGTAAACTTGTATGGTGATTCCACTGCTTTCCATCATATAAACGTCAAGCGTTTTTTTCATCTTTTGAATTGTAAGTTCAATCAACACTTCATTGTACCGTGGAGTAGCAATAATTCATAAAACACAGATTCACTTTCTTAAATCCGAGGCTGCCTCTATTATTATCTCTTCCTTAAATTTTATGGTCAAATATTCATATTTTGCAGCCGAGTGGTGGCTGCTGCCAGTGCTATAGTGTTATTTTCATAAGAAACCATAAAAGCTGAGGCAATATAATTTCAACTCTAATGTGACTTAAACAGAAAATATAATACAGTTTAAAATTAAAAATTACGAAAAAATGAGGAGTAGGATGATTTTGTAATAAAGGCGGGAGGTAGGGCTCCCCTTCCTCTGCTCCCTCATCACACTTCAACACAACTTAATGCATTATCACTATAATTCCAATATCATAAAGAAATAAAATTTCCCCCTAAAAAAATCCCCCATAACCCCAAATGAGTTATTATGTAGAATTAAATTCTCAGCGGTTTGTTTGCATAGCACGGACCCTGCCAGCCAGGCGCCTGTCTCCCTGTCTGTGTATTGGCATAACGCACAGGATGATCATGAGAAGGGAAGTTGTTTATGTAATATAGAACTACTTGTACAATATCTGTGTTACAGTACTATATTTTGGGTGTACAATATTATGTACAATATGTAGAGTAGTGTTTATTAAAACAACCAAACTAACCATTTCCATTTAAAACAATTAAACTAAAATTCGCCTTTGATCATTCACGATGTCTTCTGGTTCTTAGCCTCGAATTATCGCGATTCCACTTTTATCACAAATACCTTAATATGTTTCACACACTAGAAGAATAAACAAAAAAGTAAATTACAAACAAAATTGTTAAATCACATATACAGGTGTTTTAACCCTTTAAAGAAAACAAAGGTCTTCTTATGGTTACCACATTGGTGTAGGTAACAAACTAGGTGTGAACCAGAGACCCTCACGACGGGTCACTGGGTCGCTGCACAGATAACCTACCTTCTTCTTGATGTATTGTGGGTCATCATAACCGATCCACTGATCATCCTTTTTTGCGTAGGGACCGCCGACACTGTCACGCTTTAAAGTCCAACCGGTCTGCTCTTGCATCTGACAGATCTCGTGGTAGGCCAGGAAGCCTCTCTCCTGCGTGTACTGGCCCTCCTTCCCGCCGCTCTTTGCCTGTAGAATAAACAAGATTCACCTCAGAACCAATACATCCATTCACACCCACGCAGTTCTGTCAAGAGCGAGACACTATGTATCTACTTCATAATTCTGTCAAGGGTAATGTCGTGAAAAGTATCGCGATGTATGTGCACATATAACTGTATTCTATACTAAGTATTAAGATAGTATGTAGTATATACTCTTCTAAGCAGAGTTGTTCTGACGAGGAAACAAAGTGAAAGAACTTATGGCGGGAGGTGGCCATTTGTGTTTTCTAAACTAAGCTTTGTATGGATACCAAATTTAATGAAAATTCACTGTGTAGTTTAATAATTTACAGAATAAAAATAATTTATAGTTTAGAATATAATTAATATTAGGCCTAGGATAATTTCCCACGCATGGAGCAGAGGCCTGCGAGGTGCCGGACCAGACTAACAACATACTCCATAGAGACGGGACACTTCTAACCTCAGGCGCGGAGATCTACGAACCCCTAGATGTTGTAGCATCTTCTAACGACTAATCAATACATCACCACAGTTTATTTTATTATGTGCATCTCAAGACTCACAATTATCATGCCGTAATCTTCTATTAGATGCCCTGTGTCCAAATGATTTTTCCGACCACCATCCATTGCTCAGACTAAAAACCCTTCCTTTACTTTTATATTTCAGAGTTTATTTAGGCTATCAAACCCAGACTGTGTTTCTCGCCATGAACAGCTAGTAACACGTTGTACATTTTAACTAAGCAGCGATCATAATTAATTAGTTCCGGATTTTGATGTGTGTAGCCGTGGCATTTTATTACCTGCGATGGAGTAGGGTCTCGTATTTTTACTTTTACGTATTACCACGAGATCTGTAGCCCTACCACCAATGTGCATGCATAAATCGCTATTCCAAAATTACCGACAGACGAAGTATATCTGCTCAGGATGATATTTCTCACTTACAGTTCTGTTAAAAAAGCACCTCCTCCAGAGTTCAGTCAACAACAAAAAATATTAACATTCTCACTCACAATATCAACTATTAACAGAATCTTACTAGCAGCTTTATCAAAATTTAGTGCACTCTCACTTATCAGGAAACACAAACAAACCTTCATATACACAAATCCCCAGATGACTCCTCCCCCCCCCCCGCTTATTTCACCAGGAGATTAACCATCTTAATGATACCTGGGGGGAAGGTTAACTTAGGTTAGATTTGATTAGTGTTAGATTAGCGCTAAGAATATCAATCTTCAGGTGACACAGATCACCGATATCAATTGTTTCGAGTTTGCAAACACTATGACATCAATACTTCAGTCAGCGGTCTCCTACTCACTCTGGATCCAGGATTAGCATCATTCTTGTTAGAGAGAGTGAAGGATCTGCCATAGAAGGGGACCCCCACCACCAGTTTCTCCTTTGGTGCCCCCTTCCCTTCCCAGTAACTAACGCCATCCTTAACGTTGAGACTCCTAAATGACCATGACTCTCCGGGTCGGGTTGCTATGGGCGCGTGGTGGTCAGCCTTGCCATCCCAGGGTCCCCTCAGGTCATAGGTCATGATGTTGATGAAATCGAGGCTTTTTGCGATGCGATTCACGTCATAGCCTTCGTTCACACGGAACCTGGAAGTGGAGGAGGTGAAAGTTTGTGAGAGAGAGATACAAAGTGTCAGTCTCAGATTCATCTAACAGGATATTCACCCAGCAACAGACTCACCAATATGAACACTCACCTAGCAGGAGAGACAGCAGCTGAAAGGATCCAGCCATATGGTTTGAAAGCAATCGACAGCTCGTCCACAAGGTCAGCGAAGTTCTTCTTGTCAGCGTAGCGGCCACCACGGTCAGATGCAGCTGTACGACAAAATGTGAGCAGGATTGTTCAAATAAGATCCCAATTCTAACCTGACCTATCCTATCCTAACCTGACCTGACCTAACCATTATGACTGGGGCGTAGTTATGGTTGGTTGCCCATTCCGTTTAGGCCCCAGTCCTCATAGGCCCAAATCTTAATGGTTAAGTTAGCTTGATATCATGAAATTAGTTTTGAAGTCACGTACAGTGGCTGGAGTAAGGAAAAAACCCATGACTGTATAACATGATGTCATTATGTAAATTGTGATATTAAAATGTAAATAATGACATCTTAAGGTACATCATAGAGTAAAAATAAACAAGTGATTATAATGATAATCTATTCTTAATTTCCAACCATACTTACATGGTCTGACCTAACCTAACCTGACCTGACCTGAATTTACCTAGATACTCCCAGTCCAAATTGATACATTATCTGACCCAACTCTACACCCCTTACCTGGATACTCCCAGTCCAGGTCGAGACCGTCAAATTGGTGGTCCTTCAGAAAAGCGATGACTGACTGAACAAAGTCATCCCGACTCCTCTTGGTTGCGGCCATCGTAGAGTACTTCTTTCCTCCCTCGTTCCACCCACCGATAGCAATCATCACTTTCAGCGACGGGTTCTTGCTCTTGAGACCTACTGCCGCCTTGTACCCACCTGGGAGAGGGAGGAAGAGTGCGTGTGAGATAACGAGAGAGGGATGGTGTGTGAAATGGTTAATGAAGTAATATTCTATCACGTTCTGTTAAAATGTTCTGAATCTTGCTCGTATGACTATAAGATATTCAGTAGTCAAATGATTTTATGTAATATTCCAACGTGATTTAAGGATTTTTTACAATATCCTAGAGGACTCGAAGGATTTATATACAATACAGTACTCAAGGGTAACTTAAGAAGAGATAATGTTCCCCCTACAGCTCTAAAGATCAACTCACCCTTCACAATATCCAACTTCTCGTCAAGGGCCATAATGGTGTTTTCGTTTTCCTTAAGTCCTGCGAAGGAGTAGATGACGTGGGTGCAGGAGAAGGGATCGATATCAGCCACGGAGAAGTCAAAGGGCTCAGGCCTATACACTGACCAGGCGCCGAAGTAACACACCAGCTTGTAGTCTGTAATGGCGTGGGGGGGGGGGTGATTAGTGTTGGTCCAGGAGAGAGTAAATGATAGAGATTTCATTTTCACATCATTATTGACCATACAGTACAGTGATGCTTATGTACACACACCCACACACACCCACACACACCCACACCCACACACCCACCCACCCACACCCACCCACACACTCACCTCCACTATGGGCCCTGATCTCAGCCTTGTAATTTCTTAGCTCAGCTCCGGCGACATAACCCAAGTCAGCTTGTCTGAAGGGGTAAGGAATATCTGCGCCCACCTCCAGAGCATTGTCAGGTAGACTCCCTAGCCCCAGTAGTGACTCAGACCACTGGCCAAACGGTCTGCTGTTTAACTGTTCAGGGGAGAGAGAGAGAGAGGTGGTATTGTGGCGATGTAGAATAAGAGTGAGAGCTGATGTTGTAATGCAGTATTATTGTGTTAAGAAAGAGTCTGTGTAATATGACCTTTAATGGCCTGTTACAATCCTTTAAAGGCAATAATTAAGCGACAAACGCCCTTTGGGAATGATAAGTTTAAGGCGTCAAGCTCATACAGTCAAAACTCTCGACTGAAATGAGTCAAGGAATCTTAACATGTTGTTTAATGAATGCTAAGAAACCCATAAAGACCTGTGCTAACCTGTGCGGGCATTGGGCTGGCTTCCTCTGGGTCTTGGCTTGGGATGGAGAGAGGCGGAGACTCGACAGAGGACCTGATGCCAACCCACCCGTACTTGTCCTCAGGGTAAGCAGAGTCAGGCACCTCCACCACCACCGCAGACATCGCCTTCACATGATGGAAAATATATCACATTTTATTCCTTTAATCCATCAAATAGTTTATAGGAAAATATATAAACAATAAAAAATATATATTTATATACTGTATGCATCTTTAAAACTAGGAATCAATATTATACAAAAATGCAATGGAAAAATTGGTCATGTGTGAACAACATAGACGATATAGTTACCTTTATCAGAAATTCAAACAAATACTAAATAAAACAAGAAAAAAATACTGCTCACAATAACACACAAACAAATATACACAGAACTGTATACGCACAAATCTGCAAGACTATTTATTTATTTATTTTTAAAACAAATATAAAAGGGATTGACTGAAGGCATAAGGGGTAAGACGATGCCTTGGGTACACCAGTATCTCCATTGATTATTATTTACCGATGTATTGCTTATGATCTAATTTAGAATAAGTCCTTAATGACCTTAGATACTGACATACACTAAGACATTACAACAAAGACTCGGGGGAGGGGGAGGGACTTTTAACACTTTCCTAATCCGTATAAAAAAATTAATCAAATGAAAAGGAAATATAAAACACAGATGCTATAAAAATCTAAAAGAGAGTTTGTGATACATTTTGAATGGCAGTAAAGGATAAAGTGAAAAACATTGGGATATAAGAAGCAGCTTGAGGTACGCCACTACTCACCGTGTCTTCAATGCCGCCAGTATAAGGAGTCTGGAACCTGGGATAGGACTCCACATCTCCTCGTGAGAACGGGATCTTGTCCTCGAACTCACTGTGTTCTGCAACGTATGGCTGGGCCTCGATGGGTATGCTCTCGACCGCGTCTCGAAGTGGGATGTGATCAAGGTCCTCTTCCTCAGACTGTAACAATTATACAGTGAAGATACAAGAACTGTAGTACGGATACAGTGAATATAAAAGCTTACAGTGATTCGTGAAAGCTACAGAGGTGAAGTATACATCTTTATCAGTCATACTCATACATAGAACAGTTTCATACATGGACAAGACTCATGGGAGCCACAAGGAAAAGTTTGTCCCTCCCTACACATGAAGCCAACACACAGGACCGACATACGAGGACCCCGAGTAAATAACTCCCTCCATGCACCTTATCTACACATGGAAGGATGATCTACCTCAAACATAACAAGGATGGACACTTACCGGAGCTCTATAAGGGGAAGCGATGGAGTCCCTGATATGTGGAGAGGACTCGATGTGACCTCGGTGGAAGCCTACAGGTTCGGCCGCCCCCGTCTCTTCCGCCGCGTACGGGACGACGAAGGGCGCTCTCTGAGGTGCCGCGGAGGGTTCTGAGTGAACAATTGGTCCTTTGTGCCGTATGTTGTACTCCGAGGGCGAGATACTGGAGGGGGAGATGATGAGATGTTTGAGCAGTTGAAAGTGGAGGATGATTGAGATGATTGAAGAGGAGGCATTGAAAGAGGAAGATGTGGTGAAGGAGAGATATTTGTGGAGTTGGAGGTGGAGACGATAACATAATGGAGAAGGAAAGTGTAAAGAAGATAATAGAGGGATAGGTGGATAAAATGTTGATGAACAAAGAGACATAGGATGAATAGAACATAATCAGCTGAGCATTAACACAACCACATTGAAGAGTCTCTCTCTCTCTCTCTCTCTCTCTCTCTCTCTTTTCACTCTTTACTCATTCTTTCCTCCCCTCTCCATCTCTTACAATGAGGGGGACAGAGAACCCACCTGTAGCTGTAGAGGATCTTCTTGTAGGTGGGTACGTGATCACGTAAGGGCTCCGGGGGCTGAACGTAGAAGGGAGTGGAGATGAGGCGACTCTGTTCTCCAATCCCTGGCTGCAGCGACAGGGCGTTTGTAGCCGCCACTGCCGCCGCCAGCACCACCACCAGCAACATCTTTCACCTGGCCCACCTCCTGCTGGATACAGAGATTAACAGAGGTTAGGTTAGGTTAAGTTAGGTCATGCAAGTTCTTACTAAATAGCATAGGCACTTATCAACAGCATGTCATACGTACACTAAGACCAATACAATAATAGGTTACACTTGTTTACAATCAATAGCATTTACTGAAGGATGAGATCGGCCAAGTGGACACAGAGCTCGTCTCCTGTCCCTAGGGAGTCTGGTTTGCACTTAGGATACCCCCAGTCTGTCTGGCTGTGAATTGGTACCTAAATTTACAGCTTGGGAAATGAAGGCGGTCAAGTGTAGTGTCAACGACACTGCCTTCTGCTTTCTTATGTACTCAGGGCTTCCTGTTTTGTGTGCTGTATCAGTATTGCCCTTTCTGGTTTTGTCAAGTAAAATTGTGATAATTCAGAATACCACCAAACCACACAGGAAACAAACTACCCCATTAATTTCAGGCCAAATATTTAAATTTTTGTGCTGCAAAATGTACTGTACGCCCCCTCCACACACATAAAATCGTAAATTTTCTCCGTCCAGCACCAGGTCAATGTCCGCAGTCTTCAGCGTCTACTTACACTTTTCCGCCTCAACCCGACTCCCCCCCCCCTAAAAAAACAGCCACACCCATCTAGCAAGTCATTGCCACATCATCATTTGGGTAATATATCCAGGACAGGTGTAATTACCTAATGATCCGCCCATTCTTCTCCAACCCAGCCATTGTGTTGTGGGGGCGAGGGCAATGAGAGAGCGCGAGGCCCACCATAAAGAGAGAGAATGGGGCATAAATCTTCGTTATGTTAGGGAGGGAAAGCCTTCAAATAGTCGACATTAAATATAAATTAAGATTTCGTGCAAATAAAATAATAATGAGATTATGTGGGTAGTACCTGAATACGCTCCAGCATTACAGTATATTTAGTTACATATATGACTTCGCTTTTAGCCATAACATCCGATGCCTGATTAATCTATACGACCTGTTAACTACGGAGAGATGGTAATTTTTCGTTGCATCAGGGGTAATGTTTGTAATGTTTGATAGTAAATATGAATTAAACTTACACAATTGTTGACTTCTGGGGGAAGAATATACGATAAAGATTCGGTAGCAGACATGGACATAAACTACTAACTAAAAACGCTTCTATGGTGCCTCTCATTGTCGATAGGAACTATACATTAAATTCTCAGTCTGTGGAGTCATTTGGGAAACACCGTGAAATAATGTGAATAATTCCCGGATATATAATTTGGATTCTTTATATATTTGAGAATCATTATACATCATAATATTCAAAGCATAGAAACAAAAACGAGCTTCTTAACACAAAAATACGAGCCTAAATTTTCCTCCTGTCAGGGGTAACTCGTCTAATTGTTTACAGCGCCCACATTCAGACTTTCAGTTTAATTAAATTCGTGTTTGTGAACCTCTTAAGGGGTGACTGTGTAGGAGGGACCGTGTTAGTAGCTCTTGAACACATAATTTGTTTATATATAAGAAATGAATTTATATGAGAGAATGCAGTGAAAATATGTCCCACCTCCCTGCCTCCTCACCTGTCCCACCTCCCCGTCCCCTCACCTGTCCCACCTACCCGTCTCCTTACCTGTCCCACCCCCCCGCCGTCCCCTCACCTGTCCCACCTCCCCATCCCCTCACCTGTCCCACCTACCCGTCCCCTTACCTGTCCCACCTCCCTGCCTCCTTACCTGCCCTCCCATACTGGTAATACTGGTACCCGGTTCAGTGGTATCCAAGCATCTTGTCATCTCTGTCGTCTTCTGTCTGTCTGTCTGTCTGTCTTTTTCCAGGGTTTCTTTTCATTCCTTTCATATATTACTTTCTTCACTTTCTTAATCTTTCTTTAATTTTACTTATTTAATGTTTTCATCTATTATTCTCGTCTCCCTCCCTCTCTCTTTACTCCCTCTCCCTCTCACTCTCACTCTCCCTCTCCCTCTCCCACCTTCATCACACCATCAGTGAGGCGTGGCAACATCATCTCTCCACCTCTTCCTCGCTCTCCCTCATCTCTGAGACCAAAACATTTAAACCTTCCCTTTTTTCTTTTTTATTTTAAGGCGCGTCAGATTTTTTTATCCTCTCCCCCTCTCCTTTTTACCTCCCCTCGACCCTCTTTTCCCCATCCCTTTTCCTTCCCACCTTGCCACACCCTCTTTCTTCCCATACCCTCCCTTCCTCCCTCACATCCTCCCCTGCCCTCTCCCTCCCCACCCTCCCCCCTCATATCCTTCTGCCCTTCCCTTGCTCCTCCTCCCTTCCTCCTCCTTCCTCCTCACACTGTTCCCTGCTCCCCCCCTCCCCCTCCCCAGGCTAGCAGGAGGTACGCGACACACCCAGAGAAGGGAAACAAGTCAAGCCTCAAGGTCAGTGATCCCCCAAACTTGCTGCTCAAGAGGTTGGTAGTCAGGAGGGTGAAGTCGTGGCGGGGAGGAGAGGAAGAGGGAAAGAAGAAGAAGGGGGGAGAGGAATGTTGGAAGGGAAGTAGAAAGAGAAGGAATAAGGAGAATTGTGGGAGGGAGAGAGAGAGAGGGGGAGGATGATAAGGAAGAGGCGGAGGGAGTGAAGGAGGAAAAGAAACAGAACACGCAAGAAAACGCGAACAGAGAGACAACACGACGAAGGAGAGAGAACGGAAGAGTAGATAATGAGAGTATGAAACGGATAGAGACAGAGATAAAAAGGGATAATCAAAGAGATAAGAGAAAAAGAACTACTGATACAGCTATAACTATACATACGTCCCCCATAGATTAAAAACAACCCATACAATGAGGTTACACATTATATTCTCGGGATGACGTCAGGATTAAGAACCCCATTTTACTTTACCTGACGAATAAATACCCAAACATTAACTTAACCTAACCTAACCTAACCCAAACATTAACCTAACCTAACCTAACCTAACCCAAACATTAACCTAACCTAACCCAATCCACCCTAATGCTAACCTAACCTTATCTATTGCTAACCTAACCTAACCCCACTCAGGTAAAGCTTTATAGTGTGTTTAATCATCATATTCATAGATAAGCTGGGGTGTCTAATCTTCACGTCGTATCATCCTCAGACGGAAAAACAAACAATCCTAACGTAAGCGTCCTTGTGTGCCGAGAAGGATTCCTACCAATGGGAATCCTACACAACAGGAGGGCCGTGTGTGTGTGTATAGGTGTTAATGTCCTGTTATTACACCAACACCGTCAGCCTATAGTAATGTGTGTCTTCAAGTTGTTTAGTTTGGTATTTCTGAAGGTCGTATGTTGTCTGTTAAGGTCGTATGTTGTGTGTTTAGGTCGTATGTTGTCTGTTAAGGTCGTATGTTGTGTGTTTAGGTCGTATGTTGTGTGTTTTTCCCTCCCTCACTCACTGTTGTGTTTACGAAGTGTTCCTCCACCTCGCCGCCACACCCCGAGGTTAGCTGTCGAACTGGAATTACCTGTAAACTGGTGGCAATATATCACACACTCATCCACTTGTAAAACATAAAAAAAACTAAAGGAACTGCAGGTTTATTTCTCTCTTCAACATACTGATAGGAATCCTTGTTTATTTATTTATTTATTCTGAGTGATGAAAGGTAAACCCGTTTATACTGGGTGTTCAAAGAAGTTGGTTTTAAGATCAATGCTACCAGTTTTTTCCTTTTTATTCTCAACAAGAACTTCAACACTGATAATGATGTATAATCTAAATCGCCGCTATCTTGCTTGTTATATGACGCAGATTATAGACATCAAAACCATTGAAAGTCTTACTCAAACTTAAACTGGGATTAATGATAGAAAACGGGTTTATTTTCTCTCATAAAGAGATTCATTTAAGGGATAACTTCAGTGTTGGTAAGAATTACACTCCTATATATCACAAACCCTTAACATCAACGTAGATAAATTTAGATATATTTTATTTGGGAACATTTTTATAGGGATTAATAATAAACAAAAGCTTAGTCGCCCAGTATAAAGAGAGATTAGTTTTTTCTGGTATCAGTTTTCTGTTAAATAGGAGACGTTAATATTGGTACAATAGCAGTCAAAGCCATTCCACTCTGCTTATTGTGGTGCTGTGTTTAATCATTAATTAAATATATAAATATTCAACACTTGCCATTTGTTTATTAGGTATAAAAAAAAATTCGCCTCGTTTTCTTTAATTTACGATATCTATTTAATGGGAAACTTCACCAATTCATTGAGCCTTGTCTGTGTTCACCCACTGAAAATTTAAGACGTGCTTGCAGGATAATAATATAATCTAGTCTAATTTTCACGCCTACGAAGATTTTACTGAGCCAATCTCTATCAAAACAGTGAAATTTAAGACACTGAAGATTATACCCAACCAGTTATCAACACACACACCCGTTAATATGTTCTGAAGAAATTACGAAATTTTTTCTCGTGTGCATTTTCTATTTAAGGGGAGACTTCAACACTTGTATCGGTAACCACTACGATTGCTCCGCCTTAACATATTATAATACTGGAAGCTAAAACTGGGCCTTGCGTCTCATCAACAATTCATAATGTGTGTTTTGCATGATATCTCTGCCTCGGGAGCCAAATTTGCATACTGGAACGAGCAACTAAATGATGTATGTATGATGATGATGATGCAGGAAGGGAGTAGCAGGGAGGAAAGGAGTGGCAGGGAGGAAGGGAGTGACAGGGAGGAAGGGAGTGACAGGGAGGAAGGGAGTGACAGGGAGGGAGGTAGTGGGATGGAGGAAGGGAGTGGCAGGAAGCGACGGAGTGGGAGGGAGACGGACGCAGTGGGAGGAAGGGAGAAGGAGGGAGGAAGGAGAAGGAGGGAGAGGGAGGAGGGAGGGAGGGAGGGAGGGAGGGGGAAAGAGGGATAAAGAAGGGAAGAAGAAGCATATTGTGGAAGTAGAAAAATGGGAGGGAGATTGAAGGAGAGGGAAATTGATAAGAATGAAGGATAGGTTGAGGAAAGAGGAGTAAGAGGAAGGA